TCTCTTGCTCATTTGCTCCTCATAAGTTCATGTGTTGCAAGATTTAAAAAAAGTCGGAAGAGGTCGAGTGTTCTTGGATGTTTGAATAAAAGATTGTGGCTCATCAAAAACCTGCTCTAAACAAAGAATTAGCGAAGGTATCATTTACGCTGACAGCAAGGAAGTGATCAAAGCTCAACACATTGGCGTCATATGTGGTACCAACTGGTATTTTGAATGCAGTCAAAAAGTAAGGTGCTCTCCATTTTGAAACGCATGAAAATTACTAGGGTGAGTCAAAATCAATGAGGACTTTTCATCTCTTTTTAGACATGTGTTCAAATCAGATAGAATATCGAAAAACAAGTGCTCTAAACGATATTCAACACATTTTTCTCCTCTTTAACAGCTATAGATTCCAACAAAAAATCTTTTCACTTTTGTTCAACTCAAAGTGCATGCTGTTCAAACTCTGTAGTTGCGGATATTGCCTCCAAATATTTTGAATCATGATGTTTTGAAGCGATCAACGCATAATCATATTGGAAAACAAAGGTTTGATTTTAAACGACTTGAAGCTTCCGAGTTTCAAAGATTTTATTAGGTTGAACCGAAAGTTCTTTCGCACCATTTTCAAAAAATCATAACTTCTTTCCCTCACGGTGATTTTGCGCAGTTCAAATTTTATCACAAAGCGCAAAACATGTAGTTTCCAAAAGTTTTCTGATAACCTTCCAACATGCTCAGGTTGCAGAGATAAAAATGAGAGAACGAGATCATCCGAAATTAGGAATTTTCAAGCAAGAATTCTAAAAATTCAGAAAGTGTGCGGTAAAATCCAGAAAAGCCATTATCCTAATTTTTCTTACATTTGATTACTATCTGATTCAAGTTTGTGCTGATCGAGGTCTTCTTTCAGAAGTTATGAATTTTTGAAAAAAAAATGCCAAAAAGTCCATTTCTTAAGAATTCTTAGGAAAGTGATTTTTCGGAATTTTTTTCAAAAAATCATAACTTTTGAAAGAAGAGCTCGATCAGCACAAACTTGACTCAGATATTAATCAAATGTAAGAAAAATTAGGATAACGGCTTTACTGGATATTATCGCACTGTTTCTGAATTTTTAGGATTCTTGCTTAAAAATTCCGAATTTCGAATGATCTCGTTCTTTCATTTTTATCTCTGCAACCTGAGCATATTAGAAGGTTATCAGAAAACTTTTGGAAACTGCATGCTTTGCGCTTTTTGATAAAATTTGAACTGCGCAAAATCACCGTGAGGGAAAGAAGTTATGATTTTTTGAAAATGGTGCGACAGAACTTTCGGTTCAACCTAATATAAAGTGTAATACATTTTGATTTAAGCAGTTTTACGAAAATTTAGGTTCTCGGAAAACTCATTGTAAAAATACTCCGAAAGGCTAAATTCGAAAAATTTAAAAAAGATTCTTACTAGTAAGGCATGCTTCTTTTCAATCAAATTTTCACAATTTTTGAAACGAAAATTCGATGATTAGCTAAAGTTATACAAGGCAAAAAAAAGGTTTTAAAATTCTGGGGATTTTGGTAATGTGCTTGCTCAGAAGAGGAAGAACTTCTTCATTGAAACAAGTTCAAATTATTTGTCTTTGGCTTTTGACAATATTTTGAAAAGAGGGGTCCAAATCATCTTCAGTTCAGTTCAGTCCTTTCTAATAAACGTCTTGTTTGCTCTCATAAAAAAGAGCTGGTCAGCGAGCCATCTTCAGTGGTCTCGTATCTCACCAATAATTTTATCTGCCCACTACCGATACGTGTTAATTTGTCTTGACGCGCGACAGGAAATAGTCCCACAGATTCTGTAAAAAATATTTTCTAGACCAAACAAAGTATTTCATGAGATATTGTTAGTTGGGTCCGGATAGTGGAAAAGTACAGAATAATGGGATAAGAAAGCATCGGGGAAGGACCATCTTGGAAGCAAATGTAGTTGAAGACTGAGTCGAAGATACCACGCGAAAATTGTAGAAATGTCTACGAAACAAACAATTGTCTTATTTGCAACGATATTGTGATTTATGATTTGCAATCTGATTTTTTTTTCAAATAAAGTTTTCATCAAGCCTGGCATGCCCAAATTCTCAGAACTTCAAATGAAAAAAATTTGATGCTCAAGATCCGGTTGAATTTTTGTATTGTAGATTTTGTAGTTTTGAAACATATAGCGTGTACCAGAAATTAAACATGCAATAATTTTCTTAGGTTATAGGAAAATCAAACTAGATGAAATCGCAAACAAAAAACAATTGTTGTGTTGTTATCGAGTATCAAAAACCTGCTTCAGCCGGTAAACACCATAAAACAAAACTGCATCTAACCTTCCCCCCCCCCCCCTCCCCTCCCGCTCGAAAAGGGCATACCTAGTTATAGGCAAGTATACTGAGGAAAGCGGCAAATACAATTTAAGCTCACAAAGTTCAAAATTATAAAAACCACATGAAAGGCACCGATCTTTGGCATTAGGGTTGAGCGGCAGACAGATAAACAACAGCAGGAGCTAGACAACAGAAGACTGGCTTGCAAATTCCTTTTGGCAAGAGTATATTCTATGGAGAGAATTGACGTCTTATTGCTGCATTTGTGAAAGACGCAATCTTCTAATCATTTTCCCGTTAGTAATGATTTCATGCCAACTCAAACGGCAGCGTCACAACATTGTCGAGAAGTAAAGTGAAACATTGTGAAAGATTCTCTCGCGTTCCCATGAAAGTGCTCGTCGAGATCCCCTCGCAAATGTGATTATCCGTTGGACTTGATGTGCAGAAAATCAATCTGAGCTTCCGCTCGTTTGACGAGCCAGAAAAGTAAAAGAAAAAGGAAGCACAATCCTGAAATTTACTTCGAGCCAACAACTCAAGTATTAAACCTGCAAATACTGTTGACTACTTCTTATATGTACAGGCTGTCCCAAAAGGATGTATCAAGTTCGTTAATAACTCGCTTGTTGTGAAGTCTTTCGACGAGCTACACTTTGTAAAGCTAAATTCAACTTGGATTAACGATAAAAAACAAATCATTGATCGCTCTTCATTACTGTAGAACTACGGTGGGAATTTTGAAGAGGGTTTTGAGTCATGTAGCGCCATAATTTGCCTCACAGAAAAAACTTTCAACTAAACTAGTCAAAGTTGATGATTCTACATGCGAAATTTGCATTTTATCACAGTGCTTCGTTAAAAGTTCTGAATAAGCAATAGCAGCAGTTTTTTCAATTTTTTCAATTTTTCAACGTTTCTAAAAAATGCGGTCACACTTTTTAGAAACGTTCACAGCCTTATACAGAGTTATGCCACAAACCCATCCATGAATATCCTATTACACAAGTTTTTCTTTCGAAATTATTCAAAACAGCAGCTTTATCACAGTGACGCAATATGCCGGGTTCCTACCGTAGTCCTACAGTTCCAGTATGGAGCATCACTGGTCACCTTTTACTACTGTAGGATTATCGTAGAACCTACTAAACCTAACTCGAAGCCAGCTCTAAAATATGTTACCTAGAGCTTCTCGAGAGATTTCATAACAGGAGTGTTATTAATTGATAACGGTAGAGTTACTAACCCCCAAACGTTCGATATATTCTTTAAGAGAGCCTGTATATAGCCCATGTTTTTAGTCTCAGAAATGACCAAAATTATGTGATAGCTACACTCTCCAGTTTGCAAGAAACAACGCGAGAATGATTCCCCTCGGCATTTTCCTCATCTCACATTTCACCTAGAACTAAATGTGAGATGGAAAAATTTCTCTTGGGAATTTTAAAAAAAAAAGATGTTTCCAACCTCCCTAAATCTATTTTTTGTTGAAACCTCGTCCTTTCAAACCAGAGAACAAGCATCCAGACTAATTTAATCACTTGGCATGCCTCGCATAATCTCAAGTATGTGCCGATAAGAACTTGTTTTGATTTGCACTAATATCACCATGTCAATCATTCCGATATGAATGCTTCTTCAGGTCTAGGTCTGAATTCAGCAAAACTGTCTGTACATATTGCATTTTACTCAAATCTCTACTATGTTTGTGCTTTCTGCAGTTTATGGATACTGTACATTTTTTTCTAAGCGCTTGACCAGACGAAACACTATACAGGGTGTCCCGAAAGTATGTATACACTGTTTGATCGTCAATATCTCTCTTCCCAAGAAGTTTTTTGCCTTGCTTCAAGTACCATCTTGTAGAGCTAGCTTCAACTTAGAGTTACAGTATGTAGAGAATTGCCGACCGTTCTTCATTACTGTAGGATTTCGGTAGGAACTTGAAACATATGGTGTTAATGTGGAAAAAGCTGCTATTTCAAAATTTTTCAAAAAAATGTGAAAACTTATATAATAGGGTATTTATGGACGCTGAGTTCAGTACTCAACTATTCACAAGATTGCGAAGCTTTCTAAACGCTATAACCGCACTTTTTAGGAACATTGAAAAAATGGTCGCTACCTCTTACCTGGCATAACTCTTCAATAAAGCATCATAATAAGTTGGGAACTTTACAGTTATAATCAGCAACTCTAATTAGCCTAGCGTAAAAGTTTTCAGGCTGTTTTGTTTCTCTTCTGAGGTAAAATATGGTCTTTCATTGTTTAATACCCTCTTTGAAGCTTCTACCGTAATCCTACAGTAATGAAGAGAGATGGGTGATTCGTTCTATAACGCAAATCTAAGTTGAAGCCAGCTCTACAAAACGGTACCTGAAGCAAGGCAAAAGACTTCTTGGGAAGAGAGATGTTAACGTTTAAACAGTGTACACATATTTTTGGGACACTCTGTATAATGCTGCAGTTATGAAAACCCTAAACGATAAGAAATCTTCGTTTACGTGCCCTAATGAAACGTACTGCATTATACTTAAGCGGTTTCTATCTTGTAATTTATTCTCTACTGGTTTTTAAACTGGGTTCTGCTTATTTATTGAAATATTTTTTTAGAGTTTTACTGATATATCTGGAGGAACAGTAACGACCAGAATAATAAAGTGCTCACCTTTGAATCAGCCAACTTGCAGAACGGAATAAATGAACTAATTCATTGAAGGTGAGCCACCTCAAGCTAACTCGACAAAACGGGTGTGAACATGAATAAGGAGGAAAAGTAAGTGCGTATTTTCGTACTCATGATTAGGAAATATTTCCAATACCAATCTTTTTTGCAACTCCAATCCATACATCTTTCTTCCTTCTATCAACCTCGAAGCAATAGCAAAAGCTGCAAAGATAATGCGCAATGGTTTTAAGAAGGCCCAGGCGGAAGTTGGAAACGGCTTTGCGTTTCTCAACGATCTCGGAAGTACTAGTTCAGGTGCGTAAAAAATGAACAGCGAAGCTTTACTGTCGATGTTTACCAAAATCCGTAGAGAAATTTCTTACGAAATTTTGCGAAAGCCTCTTAAGAGGATATCTCTCTGCAAATCAAAAGATGAGAAAACAACTATCATGATGAACTTTCAAATTCTTTGCTTCAATATCTAAACTACCAATGCGTCACCTCTGCTTCGCAGAGGCTCGCACTGGTCTTACTTCATATGCCTTACTCATTCTTGACTAAAGGTGGCATTAAAACTCACCGCGCAGTGCCGATTATCGCGAGTAAAATGTAAACAACTACCCATTTAAAATGTTTTTTTCATGTGAGATCGGTGATTTCGCGTGGAAGAAACTTTTCGCAGAAGAACAAATACAAATTTGAATAGTTTTTGGAGTCTTTCTGGCTTGGTAGCTACCATAAGGACAGTAGGCAACGTGAGCTACATCTCTGTGCAAAATTTTTCTCGAATGCTCAGGTAAAACCATGTCAAATTAATCATTTACGCAACCATTTCTTTTTGGCGTCGTACTTCTAAAGTAGTGAACTTTTGTCTACTTTTTAAGTGGTGATACGGAACCAATTTTGCTGGCCAGAACCCAAGTGGTTCCGTTTGACGCGCAGTTTTTGAGGGATCCATCCAACAAAACCACTCGTGCTTTTGTACGGTAGGCTCCTATGTTGGTCGCATGCGATGTGCAAAATTTGGGCTCAGGACGTTGGCTGGAACTCGCTCTACGAATTTCGTTACAGACAGACACACAGACATACACACATACACACAAAAAACGTACACAACCTTAGCCCGTTATTATATCTAGATATTCTAACCCCCCCCCCCTCCTCCCCCCCCCCCCCGCTCCCCCCTCCCAACCCCGCCCGCTTTCTCTTTCCTATGACTGCCGTTGGACCTTCCAAAACTCTGACAATGAAGCAGATGCCATTGCAATCAGCAACTCAAGCCTTGAGAAAATACTATGATTGCAATATTCCCTTGTTCAAAATCAACTACTCTTTCCATATCACTTTTTATGTTCCAGGGTTCCATGGCAAAGAACGAAAAAACTTTTAGTCGTGCGTCATATACACCATGAACCGTAACAATGAAAAGCCGTAACAGTCGTTTCGCCTACTGTATTACTCTTCTCCATTCTGCGCGCTCTTCAGCTTGATGTTTACCTACTTCGAAATCTTTCGAGTCTGCTTCAGCGTTATCCACCCAACTTAGCTTTGCTGTTCCGTTTCGTCTCTTTTTGGAGAATCTACAGATATTGCCGATCTAGAAACGTGATCATCCTCTCTTCTTCTCACATGCCCTACCATCAAAGCTGCTTCTCTTGTATCTTCTTGACGAAAGGGGCTACTTTTCATCGTGGTGACATGGTCCACCGTGGTATCGCCTTTGTCCATCTTAGTACGTGTCTCCATTGAACTGACTCAGTGATTCGCGTACACGGCCAACATTCGCTGCCATACAGAATAGTCGGACGGATCACTGAGCGACACAATAGATTTTCATTTTATCCGGCATTCTATCGCACATGATAACCCCAAGTTCTTCATTTCGACAAACCGGCGTTTATTCAGAAGATGATTTCGTCTTGTAGCATAATGTCTTCGGAGATGCGACTTTCCAAATACTTGAAGGTTACGTGTTCTCAGTTAAAATGGTCCCGAGCTGGATAGTCCCAGGTGTTTGCTCCCAGCTTCAGGTACTCTATCTTTGATGCACTGATCTTCAGACTGTGCTTTCAATGTTGGTTTTCCACTTTCATGCTCCGCCTCCAATTCCTCCCTGCATCTGCATACATAGGGCAAGGAGGTCAAGGTATGAAATTTCTCATTGTGTCCGCAACCGTAATTAAGCTGAAGGGCGCTTGAAGAAGGCCAGGGTTTATGAGAAGTCTTCTGATTGAGCTGCTGTGCTTCTACGTGACTAGTAGAATCTTGTATACCATGTTTATTCAATGCACCTATTCTTCTGGCATGTGATTTCGTAGCGACTACCATATGATGCAAGCGGCACCTTATCAAACGCCTTCTATAAATCGAGGAACGCTGCATGCGGCTTGCATTTCTTTTCACGGCAGCATGGATGGCTTCTGTCGTATTGCAGCCCTTCACAAACAGCACTGACTGGAGGTCAGCTTCATGATGCTGTGCAATCGTGTTTCTAAAAATCTTTCGGGGATCTCCCGTGCGTGGCCGACGATCTTAAGGCCAGTACGTCGAACAGTTAACCACATCGCCTCTGTTTATACCGTCGTATTTCAGATCGATAGATCGCCTGGCAAATTCTTGGCATTTATTCTCTAATACAGAAGCTGTGTTAGTATTACTCCAGCTTATCAGCCTTCCTTCCAGAATTCGCTAGGGACACCGCCCAAACCTGCCGCTTTGCCGTTTCAGAATTTTCAACGCCGACAAAAAATCTTTCCCCGATGCTGTGTACTGGCCTAATTACAGGATCTGCCGCTACGGTGATGCGTATTCTGGCTTATGGAAGCCATTTTAGTAAGTTGATCATCTAACGTGCAGGTAACATCCAATCTCAACTCCCTATAGTATGACTGCCGCGATTCAGCGCCACAAACAAATAGATGTCTCTTCCTGGCTGACCCTCATGCACAATTCTTAGCAACATTTGCAGCTTTATCAAGAGGTATAAAGGTGTTATAAGATTCTCCTCTTTGCACTCAATAACAAGCGAAAGCTGAAGCGTTGCGAGTGATAAAAATTAGATTAGTATACTGTCGTCATTGGACTTTACCATGACTTTCATCTTTTAGCATGACTCACTATCAGTATTACCAATCAACTTTATTTTTGTCATAAATTTGATATGCTGTGTTGGATCTCAATCAGTCACAAGAGCAAGACAGGGCACGAACATCATCCAGTCGGAGCTTCATGTAGTGATTTGGTCCAATAGAGTAGAGTATATTGAGTGGTGCCAGTTTTCGTGGAACGCATGGGTGGTTCTCACTTGGCAGTTCCGATTGCATACGAACTGTGCTAAATATAGTTAGTGAAAGCACAACCTTCAAAAGCGAAAACAGGAAATAACGAAACTTTGGTTGGCTTAATGTCAATTTCACAGTTTGGAGGTCTTTTGAAAGAGTAACTAATTCACTTTTGTAACAAAGTTATTCATGTTCAAATATGACCGTCTCACTCAGGTGATTCACTTATCTGGATATTTCAGAATTCGCCCAAACTTCGTCTGCAGGTTATTTGACAGGCTAATTATGAATATACCAGTGCGTCACCTCCGCTTTGCGGAGGTTCGCACTGGCTCCCTATCCGTATGCCTTTCTCATGTTCGCATGAGAGTGGCTTTGAAACTTACCATGCGATGCTGAGCATCACAAATAAATCGTAAACAACTGTTCATTCATGAAGCATCTACATGTAAGATCGGTAATTTTGAGAAAAAAAAACTTTGTTGCAAGGAAACAAATGCGAGTTTGAACGGATAACTGAAATTTAGTTTGATAATCGTCGTAAAGATAATAGTCACCTTAGGCTACATTTCAGTGCAAAAATCTTTTCAGTTTCTTCAAATAAAACCTTGCCAAACTGACTATCTACGCGTTCATCACTTTTTGGCGATGTTTTCGCAAAAAGCAAACTTTTTAAGCATTTTTTGGGCTAGAATTCATGGCGCGCAGAGTTACTTGTCAGGCAAATCATATCTTTGCAAAAAGTCGATTTAGCGACCCAATTTTGCGTGCCAAAAGGCGCGTGGACCGTTTGACGCGCAAAGTTTGAGAGACCCGCTTATCGAACCGGCTCGTCCTTGCGCATGTTGGGCCTACACGCTGGAACGGTATGTTATGCCAAATTGTAGCCCGATAGCTTAGCTACAGCTTCCTCTATGAATTTCGTGACAGACTTTTACACAGACACACAGACACACGAAAAAAACAGACTGTCTTAGCGCGCTATCATAGTAGGATTATTCGTTATGCTTGGTAGGGCCTCTCATGCTGCGGTAGGTATACAACGACGAGTCAAGTCATGTGCTTGTATTTTGCATAATGGGGTTATCCGGCAAACTATTCACGAATAACATACTATTATCACTGTTATTACTCGATTACGACTCCTTCCCGTTTTGACTCCCCATTACTACTCCAAGTGTGTAGTGCCACACCGCACGATTGACCCTGATTATGACCTTGATTGAGAACTTTGAAAACTTTGATTTTGCCAGGGGTCTCGACAGCTTTTTTGTGGGAGCTTTTTGTTGATGGTCCTTATAGGTTTGGAATTTCGGAACGTTTTTAAATACAAAAATCTCCATTTTTCAAAAAATTGCAGTCGGCAGATTGACCTGTGCGCCTAACATCCCTTTTGTAAACAATGTCATGAGTGCACGTATCAGCGAGCATTTTCAACACCCCCCCCCTCTCAAACTCAATCACGGTGTCTGATCCGTACAAAGCGATATTTATAGAAGGCAAAATTCAGTGAATAATATTGCTAAAACCAGATAAGCATAGCCGTAGCTTGCGGTTCCTTTAGAATAAACACCTTTTCTTCTTTTCATGTCGGTCAGATATGCACATGCGAAGGTTGCGTGAAAACTTTGCACACTACGCGCATGAACACGTGTGCATTGATTATGCAAGGTTTTCACGCATTTTGTATATCCTTTACTACTGCCCGCGATTTGCAAAACTTAGTTTGAAAAGTGGGTTGAAGATGTGGATGATAGGCGAACGCATTTGAGCGGATGCATTTTTAAGTCTGTGCGATAGGACTTTTGCGGTGGGATGCCTGTGGTGCACCTGGGAGCTAATGCCGGAAAGCGCAACCTCCGAGAACTGCTCAAACTTCCCGGCATCTTTGATGGACGGACTGAAACGCACAAGTGTTCCATGGTCGGCGGCGCGTTATTCCCCCTCTCCCCCCCCCCCCCCCTCCCCATACCCATTCCCGCCTTGCCCGCAGCACTCACTTTCGCAGCACTTTTCGCACGAGGATTCGTTCTTTCAATCTAAAGTTTTCAGTTTTCTAATTTCAGTTTTTTTGGGTTTGCGCGCCCAGTACGAATAGTAGTGTGTAGTTTTGTTACTGAAGTCCGAAACCCAAGATTTATTTTCACGGGATTGCTTTGAGCTGTGGATCAACTGGACACAAAGCCACACACATGCAAGATGCGATGAGAAGAACCTAGGATACAAGAAGTTCTATCTTTACAGAAGATCAAGAATTCAAAGTACACTTTGCTCCTAAAATTTTGACAGAAATGATTGAAAGACCATTACGGCCTGTAGCACTGGTATATGAACGATAGTTGCAAATAAGCAGCATACTGTAATTCGCAGTTGTCGTATGCTGAGCATATACGGGTGTCCCAAAAGTACGTATACACTGTTTGATCGTTAATATCTCTTTTCCCAAGAAGTTTTTTGCCTTGCTTCAGGTACCATCTTGTAGAGCTAGCTTCAACTTAGAGTTACAGTATGGACAGAATCGCCGACCGCTCTTCATTACTGTAGGATTGCGGTAGGAACTTGAAACATATGGTCAATGTGGAAAAAGCTGCCATTTCAAAATTTTCCAAAAAAAAATGTGAAAACTTGTATAATAGGGTTTTTATGGACGCTGAGTTCAATACTCAACTATTTACAAGATTGCGAAGCTTTTCAAACGGTGTAACCGCACTTTTTAAGAACATTGAAAAAATGGCCGCTATTTCTTACCTAGCATAACTCTTCAATGAAGCATCATAATAAGTTGGGAACTTTACATTTAGAATTAGCATTCTAATTAGCCTAGCTTAAAAGTTTTAACGAAGAGAAATGCGTGATTCGTTCTATACTGCAAATCTAAGTTGAAGCCAGCTCTACAAAATGGTGCCTGAAACAAAGCAAAAGACTTTTTGGAAAGAGAGATATTAACGATCAAACAGTGTATACGTACTTTTGGGACACCCGTTGTGTAACGAGCATTAAGAAAATAAATTAGTTATAGTCAGAGAAAGAAAATTCTCAAGCCGAAACTCATTTCATTCAAATTTTCGCCCCGTTTTATGCTTTTCACCCTTTTCATCCCATACGCTTCAATGGTCGCTTGATGATCGCTGAGATTTTTTAACCGTAATTTTAACCTATCCTGCGCTCAGCTATTCCAACGACTTCTTTTTTAGAGTTTTATGGAAGCTTTAAGCACAGTTGGATAAAGTAGGAAAGTGCAAACAATGCCTTCATGGCACCTATAGCTGGTTTTTCAAAATTGTTGAAATTGTTTTTTCGATGTTACGAAACTTCATACGTGGGCATCTCAAACTCACAGCACAAGAAAAGACAAACAAATGTGCGTCATTAGATGCAGTTTTCCTCTTCTTTATGGTAAGTGTTTCCTCTTTCCGGTTTCTAACAAGGGAACGATACTTGGTCGAAGTGGGGTTTCCAGATAAAACGTATACTGTCTTATAGAGCATGGAACCCTGATTCCAAATCTGCTTTCCTTATCTGCAAAGCTCTTCTGGGGGGGGGGGAGTTCTGGAAATGTTTTTTGTTAAATTCGATTGTTTGGCCAAGGTAAACAAGTGTTGAGATCTTTCCGGCGCTTGGAAGGAGTAATGACCGACAAGAGCTTATTAGATTGAAGGTAGTATTGCATAAAGCGCCCTGGTAGCAGTGGCGTACCCAGGATTTCGGCTCGAGGGGGGGGGGGCGCGACAAAAAAAAATTTTAAAGAAGGTGCGTGGCGTCAGCCACGCACTCCGAAAAAATTTTTTGGGACGTTTCCCAAGATTTTTCCGAGCTTCTGACCTCAAAATTCCAGAAAAACGGGGCGTGGCGGCAGCCACTTCCCCGGAAAAATTTTTTTTACAAGGCTAATTTGAATTTTTTAAAAATTTTTAAAAATTATTTTAATTATTTACAAGTAAATACAAGTCCTCTGCACATTTTTATAACACATTTAAGTAACTTTCAAAAATTTCGCGACCCATTCTCGGGGGGGGGGGGGCCCCCCTCGGTACGCCACTGCCTGGTAGTGATCATAGCTCCATTCGAGCTCATAGACTGCACTTCGAATAATTTTATGGTAGCCGAGCGTTCGAATTTTTGCTCCTAGAAAGAAGTTCCCATAATTTCCCTCGCAGAAGCGCTTTTCAGTATGGAAAGCAGATTCGGAATTAGCTTCCTAAGCTCTATAGAACAGTATACATTTCATGATGAAACTTCACTTGACCAAGTATCCTCCCTTTGTAAGTCCATTGTGTTGTACTTTGTTTACCCCATTCAGCTGTTATCAGAGCTCTCCAAATTTTGAAACGAACTAGCCAGAACTGGGCTTGAAAGCCCTGAATAAGAAATTCCGATGATTATTTGACAGGTCATCAAAGAACTTGGAACGGGACCAAAATTGCTAGAAAGAAGACAACATTTGCATAGAATGCTGCTACAAACGTTTGTCCAGCATTATTCCGAGTAGTTTGAGTGTATATTAGAAAAACGCACGAACTTTTGGACCGACCTGATAGTAGCATTTCATCAGAGGCAACGTTAAGAAGAACGCATCTCACTTTTTAGTGCAGGTTCCACCACAATCGTGTTGAGCTTGGCGACAACGTCTTTACTTTCGGCAAAAACAAGATGTATCGACACAAAAAACCGCGAAATAAATTCACTTCAAGAATTTCAAGAAAAAAGGACTTTGTTTTGCGAGGTAATGGGGGGGGGTAAGGTCGACTGCACGAAGTCGCCCATATCGCTATAGGCTGAACGCAGGACAGCGTGCCTGCAACGCGGCTGCCGAATACGGGCTTGATAACTCATGCGCAAGAATGCCAATGTTAGCCCGCAAGAGGCACACTTGCACGCGTTCATCCTGGGCAACTCTTTGCAGTCAATTATAGCCAGGTAGCGCCAAAAAGTGGAGGCTCAGAAGAGCAAAGAAGAAACAACAGAAACGACGGATCATTTGGCTTCTGCGAATTCTCTTCAGATACTCAGTGAAACTCTACTTATTCAACATCATTTTGTTTATGAAACGATGAGAACGCCGACAAGGGGGGGGGATGCTCGTTACGTGCGGGTAGCAACTGAAAATCATCGCAACGCGGATTTACAGTAACCGCGCACGGGGAGCAGTAGTGCAGGAAACTTGTCCATATTCACACATCTAGATTACTGATGCTTCTTCTGAATTGTTAGTCCTTTTTCTCCAGTGTGTGACCTTTTTGTCTTCCAAAGAGCTAATTTTACTAGTCTTGAGGCAGAACTTTGAATAAGTAATTGAATAAGTAATCAAAACTGATGAGGGAATAGTCTGAAAACCCCAACGAAGGATGAGAAACTGTATGCTGCGATTAATGTGGCCAAGTTCTTCTCATGAAGTTACTGACAGCCTGTCGCGCGACGTTTTCTAATTGGCACTCACACATAACGAAATCCACTCCAATTCATCCTTACAATCGGAACAGTATGCGGCGTACGCTGCCCCACATCCTTATGCACAAGTGCGTACGCTGCGTAAGTCGCGTACGCCCGCATTCTGGCCTTACCAAGTGAAGCCTCTTGTGTAGATTTTAGAAAATATTCGAACGCCGCTACTGGTTTCTATTGATCTCCATCAACCTTTCATCTCAAGCTCAGGTGATCACGAACCTTTTGTGTGACTGACATTCTCGCTGTTTTTGAAAAATTCTCATAACTTACTTCCTCAGCGCGCGAAAAAAGTATGAAAACGCATCTTTTTCAGTGCTATTGCAGTAGTCCACCAAATTAGTTTACTCTATCCAGCTCATTCCCACTCTGTTGTGGTTGTGAGATCATCATCCGTTCCACGTCGAAAATTTTTCTCGAAGTCTAAATGTTCTTGCTTTCATCGCTCGGAGTGAAGTCACCAAACTACATGTATATGTATCAAAGGTGTGATTCGTAGAAACAAAGAATGTGAAACTCGTCATTATTGAATGGCTTCTGCGATCAGTAGTTTCTTCAAAATCAAAGAGAATGTGCTGGAAAATAAACAACGATTTATACATATGTATATGCGTGCCTCCCTCTCCACGGACTTTGACATTGCCTTCCTTGCAAGATCGACACAGCTCTTCAAATAATCAGAAAACTTGCTAAGTTATCAGATGTCTTTTTTCTAGATTGACAGAGACTAATTTGGTGACTCTGGCTGACGATGCCGCTGAAACAAAAATGCAAGGGGGAAGTCTATTTGAAAAAAAAATACGCCAGCTTTCACGATTTGAAGTAGTAGAGCGTTTAATTTTTTTGTAGTTCATGAGTTCCTTCATACTACGCCGCAGGAAGCGGCGTGCTGCGGCGTGCGCCGCTGCAGTCGCAGTGAGAATATAGCTTACGGCAACACAGCTTCGCCGATTATGGATGTACTTCTATATTTGCTGCACCGTGTTCTCAGAAAGTTGCTTCAGCAAACGAGCTTATATCTTCACTGCGACTGCAGCGGCGCACGCCGCAGGACAGGACGTGCTGCGGCAGGCTGCTGCGTCCTGCTGCGTGCGCCGCAGCACGCAGCAGCACGCCGCGTCCTCCGGCGTAGTATGAAGGAACCCTATGGGAATTTTTCAAAGATTCATGTAAATCTCTTCCATATGCAATATCCATAACGCTTTAGCTAAATTCGTGATTTCGACAAGCTTTTTCATAGGGAAAAACCGTAACTCTATGGTTGATCTTGTACCAACTCTATAGAATTATGCCTTTAGAATGGAAATGACGCGCTTGTAATCAATTCCGCTCCTGTCTCATCGATTTTGATGTTGTCACTTGCTGATTTTCTTGTTACTACTTCATCTTTCGTTATGCGCAGTCTGCCTTTCTCGCCATTTCATAGAGATCCTCTTCAGTTTCTCTAAGAAACGAACAGCTTGTTCATGCATTAGTTATGTCATACAGTGGGTGAGATGGTAAGACGGATGAGCAGCAGGGAGAGAAGATTTGTGATGGAAATCAGGCATATTGTGCGGATTCACAGATCATTTCGAGTAGCTACTTCTAAGAGACTTGAATCATAGAGTAATAGCAGGGCTCAGACACGCAACTCCCAAATTACATGAAGCATTAAATTTTTTGTAATGTAAATATCTAGAAACTCTCAAGCGCTAAAATGAAGACCAATTATAGCTTCCGAACGCCGTCATAGGACTTTTTGCTGCTAAAGTAGTTTAGATTATATTGTAAACACAGTGCGAGATATTTGCTGGAAATTACAACCACTCGTTTTTACCATGTCCAACTTTCACTAATTTTCAAAATTTTTGTATGAGATTTTCGGAGGAGCCCTAATAACCACCAGATAGGGCAAACCTTTTGCCAACAGAAGCAATTTTTTGTAGCCCTACGCCTTGTCTTTTAGAATTTCTACGAAATTTGTGGGAAAAATCGCAGTATTTCTCAATTTCGTGAGTGCGCACTGACGTAACCTATGTTTCAAAATCTTCATAATTCGAAACGAAAATCGCTCATTTACTTTGTAATGGTAGCGGTAGTAACAATCGTGTGTTGAAACCTCAGTATTTTGTAGGTTTTGCAGTGTTTGGTACAATGAAAGGTTATGCAATTTTTCCAAAACACAAGACTTTCAGAAAATTACTTAGCAAAATCCTAAAGAAGCAGCTAAAAAAGGAAGAAATTGTGTTGGCAAAATGTTTGCCCTATCTGGTGGTTATTAGGGTTCCACCGAAAATCTCATACAAAAATTTTGAAGATTAGTGAAAGTTAGACATGGTAAAAACGAGTGATTGTAATTTCTGGCAAATATCTCGTCATTTTCTCAACGAAACACAACGTGAGTTCAGCAGCTGGAAAGAGGAAGAAATTCTGCATCGGATACTTCTTGAAGTGTTCGTTTATCTTCATTCTAGCGTGCTTGCCAATGGATTGAAGAAATTGACAAAACTTTTGCACCAAGAGTGGCTTTATATCAGGTTGTTTCATAAGTTCCGTCCGTTTTAATTTTCAACCGCAATAAATCACGAACTTCTTGATCCTAGATAGGTTCCAAGGTATTGTTCGATAGAGCAAATCAAGCTCTACAAGATGGCTATCTCGCTTTTGCATCAGCTCTGATCCATCTCGAGTTTCAAGGCGAAAACTAAAAAGATTCAACTGCCCGAAAAATCGAGAAAAAATCATAACTTAGTTTAAAAAAATCCTACGAAAAATTCTAACTTGCTCGCGTAAACACTATTAACTCAAGACATTTATATACGCTGTTGCTGTATTTTTTCCATAGTCAGAAATCAAGAAAACGAAGATTTTCATGCTTTTGCCAAAGTGGTGCTGTGATGTCCCTGCATAGATAGTTGTATACTACTAGCCTGTAAAAGTGCAAACATAAATTTTCAGCTCTCTACAAGCTTTAGTTCTCGAGAAATATCGAATACATCTTGCCTTAATTGGGTACCTAATGCTAAAATCCATATTTCTCGAAAACTAGTGCCTATAGAGAGCTGAAAATCTATATTTGTACTTCTACAAACTCGTAGTGTACAACTATCTAAGTAGGGACAGCACAGCATCGCTCTAATAAAAACATGAAAATCTTCGTTTTCTTGATTTCTGACTATGGAAAAAATACGGCAACAGCGTATATAAATGTCTTAAGTTAATAGTGTTTACGCGAGCAAGTTAGAATTTTTGTAGGATTTTTTTAAACTAAGTTATGATTTTTTCTCGATTTTTCGGGCAGTTGAATCTTTTTAGTTTTCGCCTTGAAACTCGAGATGGATCAGAGCTGATGCAAAAGCGAGACAGCCTTCTTGTAGAGCTTGATTTGCTCTATCGAACGGTACCTTGAAACCTATCTAGGAACATGAAGTTCATAATTTATTGCGATTGAAATCCAAAACGGACGGAACTTATGAGACAACCTGATAATTATGTCCAGCACTGTATTAGAGGTTTCCTATTTTCGATATATGTATACTCGGTGATCACGGATTGCACGACGCACAAAAAGCTCTTACGTTCAGTGACACGTCCAAAGTCTCTCGGATGAACACAACTAAATTCGCTCACACGGTATAATTTCTAACTTTTCTTTTCTGACTGTATTAAGAAAAGAGGCTATGCTACCCCGCTTCTTGGCTTTTTGCGCTAACGTAAAAAAAATGTGGAGCGAAATACAAAGCGAGAAAGAAGTTAACAAATGGCTTTGGAAAAGTCGTGCAGCTTTTCTACACTGCTGCAATCAAACTGCGAAAACTTAGAGTTGGGCCAGAGTGCGTGGCGTACCGGCGTAAGTGACGTACGCAGCGTATGCTTGGAATTCAACATGGCAGCCATACTCATTGTGCTAGATGCAAATGGGATGTAGTATCAGATGAGGTAGACTGCCAATCAAGACTATGCAACATCATGCAAAACTATTTTGCTTGCTTATGTTGTCTATGCCTCTCTCGATAAAGTCCAGAACGCTTGATGTGCATGACACCAAATAAACTTCGGATTTCGAGAAGAATTGTGTTGCTTCAAAAATATTGTTGTTTCTGAACTACATTATAAAATTAAGTTAAAATCCCTTTCCTATACCATAAGTCGTGCAATTCTCAATTTACACTTTCAGCCGCGGCTTTGAAACATCAGTAGCCCTCAGAGTTAATCAAATTAATATCATTAGGTATACATTGAACTAATGAGTAGGTTGTTTGATCAAAATAGACCTGAGTAATGGTACAGAGAGCAAAAAGCATTTAAGTTAAAGAGAAAAAAATGTGTTGTAGTTGGTTAGCAGTCATACCTCAGCAGACCTTCCACAGCCGGATCTTCGTGGGGGCAAAACATATCCTTGGGTCCTATACAATAATTCGCGTAAAAACCAGCCGGATACAATATGTATTTGCTCCAGCCTAAAACCTCGTGGTTTTTGGTGTTTTAGTACTTTAAAAACAAGTTTCAGACCAGGTTTTCAGTCTATTCGAACATTGACCTATCTCAGTGAAGTTGACATAGTGTGGCATAAGACAGCATTCTAATTGCGGATCACATCTATTCCACAAGGGATCATCGTAATAGGCAAGATCCAGCTCCGGAGGCCCAAGAAAATATTTGAAATAGGAAACGGGCTTGCTGTCTACTAAGATGTCCACCTAAACTTATTAGTCTTTACGCACTTCCGAGAATATTACTTACCTTCACGTTGTGCTCTAAAAGCTTCTTCGCTGTCGATCCCTTATTGAACCAGCTTTTGGCGCTATGGATCACTTCTATTCGAAGACTGCGAATGCGTGCAATCTCATTTTGCTCGAGAGTTGCTCTGCCTAGCTTTCTGAGCTCTCCATGCCATCCGATAACTTCAAACAGCGTCACAGTTATGCTTATGGGTCCCAAGTTTCGCCTCAGGCTGAATTAGCATTTGTTGAATTGAATTCAGAATGGATTCAAATAGATGTGCACTGTGGTGCAAACACTTTTTTTAAAGTATGACTTAATTAGTCCCATCATAGCGGTGTTCAACTAAATTCGAATTTAAAAGGTGCGAAATTACAATGTCAAAAAGAGTGGTTTAAAAGCATGCACTACCATTAGTTATCTATGAATTAGGGCCAGGCATGCGTTGTTTTGAAGGATTTTCAAAAAAGAAGTTCCTTATGACTTTGCCAATCTTTACGAAGTCCTTATCGGCGTAGAACTAGAGAGAAAACAAAAGCTAGTTGAAACATCAGCAACGAAAACAAAAAACAGTTGTTGCCAGTTCAAAAAGAGACTTGGCAGGTGTGATATTGGAGCGCCATATCTACCACTGCGTTCATCCACACTATTTTTGGCTAAAAAACAGAAGAGAGGCATAATTTGATTCCTCTTCACCATATGATAGATTTTTGGACGTTCCAACTGTTCAAGTAAAAAAGGTCTAAAACTTGTCTCCAGTATTTATGCCCAATTGGTTTGATGTTGGTCTGAAAACCAGCAAATTCGAGAACGGGAATGTCGTAGACAGATATTTTTTGAAGCTTTCTACATGAAATAGTTCGGAGTAATACTATATACATGTGGGTCAGATTTGGGACATGTGATTGCTTGTGCGCTGTAAACAAGTTGTTTTTTGAGCATCATTTTGAATTTAGCTAGATAAGGAAGAACACGTTCGAGTGTGTCATCCATGTACCAACTCAATGGTTAGCATATCTGGAGGTCATGTTTATGCATGTTTGAGGTCCTACGATACCTCCTTTGCTTTTACCCTTAAAACGAAGTACAATTTGACCCCAAATCTGCGCCTGAGCTGAATGTCTGTCTTCTGTATGTTTGTGTGCACGCATATTCCGAGTACAAGTTTTTAGTTTTGGACCAATGCGGACCAAACTTTGCAAACATACACTTCGGGGCGGGGCGGGTGTCGTTGGCTATTTTTCGCGACTGATCGTATTGATGCTATCGATTTTTTGCAAAGTTTCACCTACGGGGTTGGAATTTGGCACAGGGACTACTTGAGCATGCTGATTACGGATATTCTATTGACAGGGCAGGGAGAAGCCGGCTTTGTCAGCTAATAAGTATTGAAAACGACAGCAATATGAACTCCAGGAAAATAGGTTAAAAGAGTACGAGGAACTTTCTCAAGTTGCCGTTTTGGATGATTTTGTGTCTCATTGGCAATCCCGTAGTTGTTGCACTTGCTGACGACGAATTTGTTATTCTGATTTGATTACGAGATTACAGGTTGCGTTTAGCAACCCTCATATGTTCTTTCTTGTGAACATTCATTTGGGATCGAGGGCATGCAGAGCCAAAGTTCAAGCCTGCATTTTCTAACCCTTTCACTCAGATGTGGGGTAGGAAAATTGTTATTGCCGTAGCAAGAGCAAATGTACCGGCAGACCGAAAGGGAGGGCAAGGAGAAACTCACCTACGTTGTAAATATGTGCAAGGACAACAGGTCCACCGAAAAGCTGGAAAGCATCCTAAGATTTTCGGGAGGCTTGGCTGGCACCACGTCCCCTTTTTGGAAAAATTCTTCCCCTCCCCCCTCTCTCTCCCCTTGGCACGAAGTTTTTCAGAATCGAGGGGCCACTAATAAGCAGCATCCTAAATTATATGAGAGTGCAACGAAAGTTATGTCGTTTCGGCTTATGGATGCTGTGAGATTGCTTGCGTTCTTTCGTTTACTCATACCGCGTACCTATCTTTCGCATTTATTCGGATGTGCCATAAATTGAAAAAGCACGAAAATGAATGGAACTGGAGAACTACCAAACATTGCAAAATATAACAGAAGACATTTCTCTTCACGTTTGTTTTGAAGTTGGTAAGAATGCGCTACGCAGAATGTTGCACGAGGTAAAGTGAACATGAGATAATTTGTAGAGTCATTGCTCTGTTCAGCAATCGCGGTAGTTTCTCTTATGTGCCACATCGTGTCGTATCATTTCTTTCTTTGCTTCGTTGAAAGCATGCCAATCAGATGACTCAGTCTTTGTTCGCATTGAGGAAACTTTACTCACGACGCACAGTAATCAGGCTGTAAGGGTCTCAATTGTCTTCATCATTATTTAGGTGTTATGAAATGTAATTTTCTGACTCGACTTATTTTATCCACCGTTTCAATTTCTTCTTCACTTGGAGTTTTATATACGTAATAATATCTGCCCGCTGAAGAAGCCTAGTGACGGGCAAATGGGGCCAAAAGCTGTATCCTATTTTATTTTAGCAAAAAGTGTAAACTTAGTGTTTTTATTGCAAAAACCATTCTCAGTTCTGAGAGTCTCAGGCAAATGTCAAAGTTAATTATGACGTGAGTACTGCAAATGTCTTTTTGGAGATTTTTTGAAATTTCTGATTAGTGACATACTCATTGAAATTATGCAACTACCATCGGTTTGCGAATCTATATGTATGTATATAAAAGTCAGAGTTTGCGCAATTCGTGACCGTATGTCTTTATAGACTTTTTCGCGCGTGAACCGAGCTGAAACTTTGCATACATATGTTTTCAACTACGTAGATGGTTTTAGACTACTTTTCGAATCGATTCGCTGGATCCTTCTATTGATTTATTGATTTTTGGCACTTTGCAATGAAAATGAAGCTTATCAGCCACTATCAAACCCTATGCACATATTGATGTAGACAATGCAGCAAAGTTCATTTTCAAAGTTACTCCAATCAGTCACTGAGGTAAGCTTAGGCAGGAGGGTAAGGGGGAGGGGCCTTCAGTGCAGTATAGAGACTGCAAAAAGGGTATGGCCGAACCAAAGAAAAGAGGGAGGAAAGAAAAGTGTGGTTTGGCCATCCTCCTAAAAACGGTGACCCGGGCTGGACCGGGAAAGCCAGCTAGTTATCTCTAATTCTGCGTGTAGTCACACCTCTTATCGTATCACTGCTTACCTCATTGTGAACTTTGCGGTTACAGATTGAGCGCGAGGATCAATAGGATACGTAAAGCAGTTGAAAATTTCGGTCGAATTATTCAAGACACAAACTCCTGAACAAATGAAAAAATTGTACGCGGAAACCAAAAGGGATTATCACAACCATTGGGCGTGCTTGTTTGTATGCTTTCTCCTATTTTATCCCGGATTCGTGCGATGTCCTGCGTGCCTTCTAGAACAGGTTGTGCTTTGTGCAGCCGCAGCTCTTGCATTACCATTGCCTTTACCTACAAATCTCTAGACACTTGCCACTATACTTATGTGCTGACAAATGGTTTCTCTACCAATAAAAACATGCCTTTTCAGACAGCTCCTTTGTGTCTAGAGAATTGACTGCAGGTGCCATAGACACCTGCCGAGCAATGTAGAAAAACAAAAGATGAAAAAGCATAGAGATGGTGATATCAGCTCAAGGGCATTGAAGCATACCTGCAACGACATCGACTGAGTGCTGTGGGAAAAATGTGATTAGCGTTTCCACAAAATTATTTTCAAAGCTTACTCAAATCATACAAGACATACAATCTCAAAGCAAAGTAGTCAGGAATGTAGATGATACCGTGTTTAGTTTTGCTTGTAGTATACTCACAAGGCACAGGAAAAAGTTTTTATCTTATCAAAATTTACTAACAAGAAGGCGATAAATAGACGCAGTCATTCAAAAGGTCTCAATGTATAGTCCAGAAATGCTTCTTTTTCTATGAAACTAGCAAGCTATTCTTCGATCCAATTGGATACGAAAAGCGGTTGAACCTGCTATGCGAAAATCTCGGACGAATTAGCTGCCTTACGATTCTGTAGAAACATTTATTACAGCAGTGCTTATGAAGCAGAATATTTGAGCATTGAAGTGGATGCAAAACTACCTTAACCGAATTTTTGCTTTGATACTACTATACAATGAAATGCTGTTTCTTAAAAACTCTCGAAATGCAATTGCTGCTCTTTTAACGATTTAAAGCTTAACTGGGACTAGCTCGTAGATCTTGCGCGAATTCTACATTTGGAGGGAAAAGCATCTTTAGTGTAGACCGCTAATTCTCTACGGTCACCTTTGTTCGAAAGAAATTATCTCAAACTATCATTCGGACTAAGAGACGCGAGTACGCTTTGCGACATCTGTGTAACAAGTTCATGAATGAGTTCTAACTCGTTTTGGTCACTTAGCACTACGAATTCGTAAAGGGACGTGTTCGTGTCTAACGAGCCTAAGCATGTTCCTCCACGAATTCCTGATAGTTTATCAGCAAGAACGCGATGAAAACTCATTCATAAACTTGTTAATGCAGAGCTTGCTCGCGTCTCTTAGTCAGGGAATAAATGATAGATGGATGAGCCGAGGCGAGTATCAATGCCACTGAATGTGCTGCATCTGGTTGCGCATTACAGAATGACATCATCAGAGGTACTAGGACATCACTGATTATTGAATTGTTTCAGAGATTTGGTTCGAGCCAACATCTTAGCCCAAAAATTACCGCAAATGATCGATACTCTCCACCTAAATTCGTTCTGAGCTGTAGAAGATATTTCCAAATTAGCGTTTCACGCTGCATTTGGCGATACAACTCATGTCAAAAAGCTACTGCGACTTCTTGTAATAAGTTGTTCGAAAATCAATGACCGTTGTTTACGCGATCGCGGCATGGTAGGCATAAGAATGTGGACACCACAATTCGATTGTAGAAAAGCAAAGTACAAAATGGCATTGCACAGTCGCAAAGCGATTCACGTGAAATTCGAAAGCAAAACCTGAAAAAAACTCAAACTATCAGATCTATGTTCAAAAGATCCTTCAAGCCTGCGACGTAGTCATACATATGCTTCCCACATCAAACATTCATACGTTCCCACATGAGACATTTTAGATACGTACATTTGTGGATAATTTCATGGTCAGATTTTTAATATATTTATATCATATTTACCCTACCGCGATCGCTTGAGGAACGGATATTAATTTCTCAACAACCCAATACTTCCATTGTGGGTTGGTGGAAAAGTAACAATGAACTTCGAAGTTCCAAAAAATGAAATTCTACACTTCGTAATTTCGTGTCATTTTCACATTCATGCTAAACTCACTGGATTCAAAGCAACTTCCTTTGAAATCAATACGCACTGTACAGTTACCGGTACAAACAGCTCATTTGTCACTTACACTTACACTTGTAACATACGTGCGTTTTTGGAGCATGCCATTGCTCGTCAGCACCTAGGAAAACTTGTTAATTTCGTAGGAGAACTCGAAAATACAATTCTTAATCCTTTCTATTTGAAGTTTACTCAACGGAAAAAGACCACTGTACCTAGCTACTGTGACCACTGACAATATCCTCATCAAAAGTGGACCGAAGGTGAAGGGGGGAGAAGGATCGCAAAATTTTTGCGAAGTGACCTACATGCCGTTATAAACAGGGTCACACCCCACGCTTGGCAATGAAGATGCTGGATGAGTCGCATGAGAGCGTGACGAATGTAAAATAAAAAAAGTTAATGATCCTTTGTAATATGCATGAGGTTTACTCGGATTATTGAATGAAATAGTTCTAATTTGATGACTCTCCGTAGTAGTTGCCGTTTGAGGTGTTTTCGGATAGTCATGCTGTAAGAAAAAATAATTCTTGAAAACGCAGTATTAGAGGAATGATAGGAAACACATTGCATTTTTACTTGGATGGACAGGTGCCCATTATAGAGAATTGATTTCATGGCAATAAATGCCATTCTCCTTGACGATTGTATAAGCTGTTTGTTGAGCATAAGGAAACTTATCTTATAACTCAAGAATGAGATTGTCGGGAAGAACGCGGGTACACGGGTATGTAGATCTACCATAAGTCACACTTCAGTTGCAAGAAAATCGAACTTTAGCCGTAAAAGACATGTCACCGTTCAACGAGCACTTGCGTGGTTTGATTATCAAAATCTGTTTGGAGAACGTATTGACTGTTGATATGAAAGAACACAAAGGAAGTTATTGTTATGAACCAGAGGCATGCGTGAACTATGCCTTAGAGTAATTCATTTTCAAATTGCAATACCATCACTCTCTTAATGCATAGCGAGGATTGCGCTCATGTTTACAGTAGCAATACATTAGCATTACTTTGATGATCGTGATGATGCCGCAACAGATGTCTCGCAACGTCTAAATAAATCCAGTCAAGAAGCGGACTATCTCATAGGTACTTTGAGAAAAATGGTTAGATATCATGATTTTTTTTATCATGAAGAAGCACACAATAAATGCCGCTTATGTCTTTTGACATGATCCAGGGAAAAGAGACCTGATTATCTCACAGTGGTGCATCAAATATTTTTCTCATCGCCATTTTTAGTGAATTTTCACATGTAGGCAGTATCTATCAAGTTGTCCCATAAGTTCCGTCCGTTTTGAGTTCCAACCGCAATAAATCATGATCTTCTTGTTTCTAGATAGATTATAAGATACCGTTCGATAGAGCAAAGCAAGCTCTTCTTAGAAAACCCTTCAAGATTTCTAAATTGCACGCTTAAACACTATTCATCTTAGACCTCGGACAGAGTGCACGCGATTTGATCGTTGCGATTCAATCGTCAAAGACAAGTGTTATGAGCTCATTGCATGCCGATCTTCTTGTAATTCGGTTGTGATAGTTTTCCAACACGACCATTCGTGACTAACTATCACAACCGAGATACAAGAAGATTGGCATGCAATGAACTCGTAGCACCTGTCTTGTAGCGATTGAATCGCGACGATCAAATCGCGTGAACTCTGCCTGAGGCCTTAGACATCTAGATACGCCATTGCCGATTTTTTCCTCGGTCAGAAATCAAAAAACCAAGATTTTCATGCTTTTGCCAAAGTGAGCGGTGCTGTCTCTACATAGATAGTTGTGTACTACTAGCTAGTAGAAGTACAAATATAAATAGCTGCCTACAAGCGTTGGTTCTCGAGAAGTATAGAATACCGCTTGCCTTAGTCGGGTGCCCTACTCTAAAAATCATATTTATCGAAAACAAGTGCTTGTAGAGAGCTGAAAATTTGCATCATTTATACTTCTACAGGATGGTAGCATACGTCTGTCTTTGTAGGGACAGCACCGCTCACTTTGGCAAAAGCATGAAAATTGGTTTTCTTGATTTCTGACCAAGAAAAAAATACGGCAACGGTGCATATAAATGTCTGAAATGAATAGTTTTTACGCGAGCAAATTAGCATTTTAGTAGGTTTTTTAAGCAGGGTTATGATTTTTCTCAATTTTTCGGGCAGTTGAATCTTTCAGTTTTCGGTTATTCGAGATGGATCAGAGCTAGGGCAAAAGCAAGATAATCATCCTGTAGATCTTGCATTGCTCTATCGAAAGTACCTTGCAACCTACCTATTTAGAAATGAGAAGTATATGACTTAGTGCGGTCGAAATTCGAAACGGACGGAACTCGTGGGACAACGTGACAATAGCTTACCATGTTTGAAAACCGAAAACTTCTTGGATCATTGGTCGCATCAATCGGAATCAATTGCAACTTCTTTTATAGATTGAACTGCACGTTTCAGTTTTGAAACCTTCAAAAAAGGATTCTAGAAGAAAAAACAACACTTTTTATTCTAGATACGCTCTAAAAAATAAAATAAAAAATAGTAATAAAATAATAGGTTTTTAAAGACAATTATTAGATTTGAAGCCTTCAAGACTATACAACATTCAGTACAATGCCACTCACAAAATGTGCTTTCCGTGAATGTCGCGGAATTCCAGGAACTCGCGGGATCCAAGCGAATCACACAAACTACGCAGCGCCATAACCTCCTTCGGAATGAATATATTCTAAAGCAGCTGTGTTCAGCTGTTCAAGGCGAATCTTCTGATGTACGTATGTCCTCGATATTCAGTTTCCAATTTTGCGGAGGTCCTTTCGCAAGGACATAGCGCAGCATCTGCCTAGCATAAAAGGCAACAGTAAGTACCATTCGATAGTACTATTTTTGCAGATTATTATGCGCTAGAGAATAGCCGCAGGCTTCCTTGCAAAAAAGATAGAAGCGTTGGTAAATTCTGAAAAAATCGCGCGTTTCCAAATTCTCTCGCCGTAACTTCCTCTGGAGTGAATATTTTTCAAATCAGGAAAGAGCGTCGTGGCCAGCTCATCAAGGCGAGTCTTTTGATGCATAGCATGTCCTCGATATTTCGACTTTGATATTCTTGAAACTTTCTGCGGACGTCTCTTCGTAAAGGTGTAAAGCAGCGCGTATCGTCCCTAGTATACTCCTGCAAAAATCTTACGATAACACTTCTTCTGTAGATTACGAAATGCCAAGAATTAGCCGCACACTTCTTTCCAAAGGAAATAGAAGTGCTGGTGAATTTTAGAAAAATCATGTCGTTCTAATTTTTCTCACCATAACCCTAAATTATCTTGCTAAGCAGATGTAATTTTCGTAATCAGCAGGTCGGATAACCTCTATGAGCAAGTTTTCAGAGATGTTCGGGTTATTTTATTTTTCTAGTTCTACGTTCTAAAGCTCGCCGATTTTGGTCAAAAGGTTGAATGATCTTGAATTGCAAGGAAACTTCGCTTATAGAGGTTTTCATACACGCTCTTTACAAGAATTGTGATCTTTGAGCATTACAGGGTCTTTTTGAAGAGATACGGCGAGGTGACTGTAAATGAATCACGAAAATGCGTAATTTTGCCCGCACTTCTCGCGTATCTGTCAAAAAACTTGCTTGCTTGCTTGTCCAAATCAAAGTTACTAAGGACTGTGCCATCGAATGGTGCATGACTCAGGCTCCAGTCTGTAAAATTCGCCGAGTTACGAGCCTACGAAAACACGTCCTCATGAATTTTGCCCAAAATGTAAAAATCGCTGATTTCGTAGAAATTTCACCATGAGCGCTTGTAAACAGGGATGATCAAATCTTTTCGGACTTGTTGCGTTAGATTTGGTAATTTGAGCTCTAGCCACGAAATAGCTTTGATATTCAATTGAGCAGCCGAAGCAGTGCTTCAGCTGCATAATTGAACATCAAAGCTGAAGCACGCAAGCACCTTATTCAATATAGTGGCGGTCATTGGATGAAGCGAACATAATATCCGCAATGCGAGCGTCATACAAGCACTCACGGTGGAATTTCGACGAAATCTGCGATCTTTACATTTTGGGCAAAATTCATGAGGACGTGTTTTCGTAGGCTCGTAACTCGGCGAATTTTACAGACTGGAGCCTGAGTCATGCACCATTCGATGGCACAGTCCTTAGTAACTTTGATTTGGACAAGCAAGCAAGCAAGTTTTTTGACAGATACGCGAGAAGTGCGGGCAAAATTACGCATTTTCGTGATTCATTTACAGTCACCTCGCCGTATCTCTTCAAAAAGACCCTGTAATGCTCAAAGATCACGATTCTTGTAAAGAGCGTGTATGAAAACCTCTATAAGCGAAGTTTCCTTGCAATTCAAGATCATTCAACCTTTTGACCAAAATCGGCGAGCTTTAGAACGTAGAACTAGAAAAATAAAATAACCCGAACATCTCTGAAAACTTGCTCATAGAGGTTATCCGACCTGCTGATTACGAAAATTACATCTGCTTAGCAAGATAATTTAGGGTTATGGTGAGAAAAATTAGAACGACATGATTTTTCTAAAATTCACCAGCACTTCTATTTCCTTTGGAAAGAAGTGTGCGGCTAATTCTTGGCATTTCGTAATCTACAGAAGAACTGTTATCGTAAGATTTTTGCAGGAGTATACTAGGGACGATACGCGCTGCTTTACACCTTTACGAAGAGACGTCCGCAGAAAGTTTCAAGAATATCAAAGTCGAAATATCGAGGACATGCTATGCATCAAAAGACTCGCCTTGATGAGCTGGCCACGACGCTCTTTCCTGATTTGAAAAATATTCACTCCAGAGGAAGTTACGGCGAGAGAATTTGGAAACGCGCGATTTTTTCAGAATTTACCAACGCTTCTATCTTTTTTGGAAAGAAGCCTGCTGCTATTTTCTAGCGCATATTAATCTGCAAAAATAGTACTATCGAATGATACTTATGTTACCTTCTACGCTAGGCAGATGCTGCGCTATGTCCTTGCGAAAGGACCTCCGCAAAATTGGAAACTGAATATCGAGGACATACCGTACATCAGAAGATTCGCCTTGAACAGCTGAACACAGCTGCTTTCGGATTCAGAATATATTCATTCCGAAGGAAGTTATGGCGCTGCTTAGTTTGCGTAATTCACGTGGATTCCTCGAGATTCCTGGATTGTCGCGGATTTCCCGAAATGTCGCGCAAATCCAAGATGTCGCGGACTTTCGCGGAATTCCACATCCTGAGAGTGGCATTATAGTAGATCCTCAGAGTACAACTTTGCGATGTTTTCGTCGACTTCCTGGAAACTGACTTTGAAAATAAGGGGTGATCCCTCAGGGAATCCCAGAGATCACACGATGGAGAAATCTTAGTTTGGTAATGTTCTGCCATCCATTTCAAATATCAGGCTATAAAAAACTTTGTAACATCGACAGAAAAGGAATGATACAGATATCTAGAGTGGCAAAGTATGACGCGTTCGCTGAGTTTCCCTCCCCTCCACAGCAGGGATGTACTTGCATACGGGTCTTAGTGGGTTGCTGAATTTCAGTTTCAGACCGCTTACATTAGACGCCGCACATAAAGGGCGCCCCATGCTAACATTATGCGTGCTGTACGTACCCGACTTTGAGGTGCCTTCACATGTCTGAGTCTCATAAGACCAAGCAACCTCGAAACTATGCAGTAGCCCTCTTTGCCAGATGTATATCACACAACTGAGGGTCATGCACACGTATCGTATGCGATTGTATACGATGTCCGTTTACGGTTTGGAATTAGTATTTTCATTATCCTCATGCATTCTCTAACCTCCTCCTCTGAAGATTTATACCTACCTCCTTACCACCTTGCTCAATTCCTACGAAATATGCGGTGAAATGAAAAGGGATTTTCTTATCATTTTTCGAAGGTCGACCCTAATTGGACGATGCCAGCTAAGAAGTTCACCGGAATCGTGATTGGACCTAATTACATTGCACTGCAGACAGTTCTGTTGTACACGAAGTCCCCAAAATGTGCCTAATGATTGATTGTATAACTATCTAATTATGAGACTTGTGCAGAAGCTTTGGGTGCCGTTTTGTAGAATTCGCGCCAACTCAGATTCACAATATGAAGCAAATCATTTATCTCTCTTCGTTATAACATTGTATTAGAAATTCTGAAGAGGGTTTTCGGCCAGTCAGACCTTACCAATGCAAATCAAACATTGTGAAAAATTGAGATTGGGCGTAAGAAGTTGACACCGAATGTGAACTTCGCGCTTCTCCGCGATGCTTCGTTCATATGTTATGCCAAGTAGACCGCAGCAGCTGTTTTAACAAAAGCTGGTAAAGAGCTGTAATGGAATCAGCGATGATGAATACTCTGGCATACAGCTTTTCAGATTTTTTGGACTTATTCGGAACAAAGCTAATCCACAATGACACCGTAAGATGCAAGTTTCTCCCATAATCCTACAGTAATGAAAAGAGACAGGTGATTTTTCTCCTAACAAAAACCTAAGCTGAAGCCAGCACTACAAAATGAAAGCTGAAGCCTGTCAAAAAATTTCATGACAAAAAAGTTATTGAACTCGTTTTTTGCAACGCCCTGTGTAAAGCCAAGTTCAATGCGACTTGTTCATCGATGAGTCTATGAAGATTGTTTATACGAAATAAAAAGTTCAGAAGCAGTAAATTGTAAGAGTTTATTGCGTTATCTAATTGGTAAAAATGAGTGCACAGCAGTCAACAAAAAGCAAATGTATCGGAAACATCGTCCTCACACTTGTTTATATTTGCGTCTTACTCGTTCGGAACTCGATCACTAAAAATTACAAGAATCTGATCACTGTATTGTCCATTATGATGAAAAAGTTTCTTTCGTCGCTGCCCTAAGCTTACATAGGACATGGCGATCAAAAGGGAAAAAGTAGTAGAAATCTCATTTTTTGAATGTCTTTGATTTAATTTTTTAACGGTAGAAAAGCGAAGCAATTCTCTCAGATAATAAACACAAAGCATGAACTGCCGCTTTTGTGGTACGACCGATTTGCATTTAAGGAAGAAGATAGATTGTTTAGCTCAATAAAGCACAAAACGTTGCTATTTTTCCTCCTTAATAGTTTTGCTCAAAAGAGAGAGCAAAATGTGCGCACCTCAGGGCACTTTTTTTGTAATTCCTAGCTTCCCTTTCACACTTTTGAAGGCTCTCAGATAATTATTGTCACACGAATTGTCCCAATAATTTGAAAAATCTAAATCAAACATCATTAGGACACACATATGGTACCATTTCAGCGTGTTGAGATTGCAAGCCTTATCGCAAGCATTTTGTGAGATGAAGCAGGCTGAATTTATTCACTAAAAATAACAGCACCTTCAATAACAAATTTTTCTCGTGGTTCTTCCCAGAGAAGTCGGCACAGCTAAAATATATAGTTTAGAGCTAAAAGTATATAGTTGAGGTGTCCAACTACACTGTGTGCTTACCTGACAAAATCCCCAAGGTCGCTCTAATGCATTATGATTTGCTCCGTCAAGGAATACAACGCGATAACTCAACTTCCATTGGAAATATTGTCTAAATTATCATCAAATTCAACGTTGTACATTGATGTCAGTGATACATACATGTATGCTGTTTTGTTCTTCATGAGATAACTGAGGTAAGCTGCAAGCTCCGTAACAGTATCAAAATCATCGACAGCAATGAATGAATTTGGTGGCACTATTGAGTCTAGTAGAGACCTCTAAATCTGGACAGTGCACTCAATTTCGAAAAACCATATTATCAGAACCTACTTTCAGCACAATAGGAACGATTTCATGTTGATATCCATGCTTCCATAACTTCTCCGTAACATAATCTTTACAAATCGAATTCTCAAACGCAAGATAGAAGTGATAACTGCAAACATGACGCTCTACTTGAAGCACTGGCCGTTTTTAATGTAAACCGATAAGTCCGACACTGTTCAGGTGTTTTTGTAGGCGGAAGATAACCAGCTAAGCACCACACAGACTGATGCATTAGTGCTTATTGCTAGCATAATTATCTATGAGGATAATAGTGGTATACACAAATGCAGCATGCTCCATAAAAACTCCATATCAACTGATGTGGGTGCCGCAATACCACTGCTATGTATCGAACATTCACAGATTATTAGTTCAAAACATGAGAGATTCCAGAACTAGAAGCAGTTTGAGGCCTTCATTGCTTCAAAAAATGCGAAACACCAAAAGATAGGCAGAGTATAATTCTCTTTTCTCATTCCTGCACTCCTCAGTTTCGATTTTTTCATACACATGTTTGATTCAGTGTTAAACAGTTATCATGTCTGAGAAACCTGCAAAAAAATTCTACGCATTTTTTTCTTACGATCCACTGAGAATAAGTGAATGAGCATTTTTCAAATCAGGCACTTAGATGACAAGATAAACTGAGAAAAGTTCCTGTTTGGATTGCTCAAATAGTTTTAAATAAGATAGGCTTTAACTATTTCTCAAATGTTCTCCTGATGTAAAGCTCAACCAAAATTCAATATTTTGTTTGTGAAAAAGTGGATTCCATCCGAATTGCCAGAGACTTTGCTCTTCACATCAGACACTTACTTAACAAATTGTTTCCCTTCCATGGCTAAACATAAAAAAGTCAGAACTGACAAGCTCCAGTCAAGTAGATAAAAGACTATAAGGTTTTACTAAAAACTACGGAAATCGGAAGCATAGTTATAAATTTTAGATTTCTACAAGCGCTGATTTTCTAAATATCGTCAAGTCATTGGTAACTTAATATGCGTAATGTACACTATGCACGCTAACTGACGAACTGCAAAGTAGAACGTGACATTTCCAGTGATTTCTCATTGTTTTCTTGCCTCTTTTATTTTTGTTGATTATATGTTAGTCAATAGAACACATTCCCACACTTTGTCAGGCTAGAAGATGTTTTACCGGAAAGTTACCAGTAAGGGTGCCGTCGCTAATAGGGCTTAGTGTGCAGTCTCACATATAAAGTTACAAATGACTCGAGGTTATATCAAGTTTAGCATTGATTAGAAAGTTAGTATTATCAAACTTCGATCCAATTAAGTTTCTCGTCTAGTCAGTGGAAATTGCAGTGACTACGTATCTGAATGCCTAATGTGTCGTGAGCAAGACAAAAAATCATATTTGGTCCTTATGTAGCTTACTGTGTACAGTTGATCCGACTTTACAATCAAACTTTGAGTTCTGGCTTTGTATTCCGTCTAGACACTTTGTGCGAATGCTTGGAAGTTGTCCTTTAAAACTTAATTAAATCAAAATGAATTGCTGAATAGTAACTTTTTCGAAAAATTGGAAACAGCACATGAGAGAACCTTAAGGATCAGATTACATCAACCTATTCATATGCAGCACCATTTAGATTCCTCTGCTATTGATCAATAGCAATCCGCAGGGGCCAGAATAGTGGAAGGCATATAACCTTTGATGGGGGCATAACCATTCTATCGCAAGTAGGTGTTTCAACTCTAATGATAAGGAAGGACGTGTTGAATATATCAAGGATGGTTACTAGCGTTTCATCCGAGCCTCGATGTGTTCTAAAGACAGCGTCCGGGCAGAAATGAACTTTTCGCGTACAGGGGCTCCTGCCCCGATAAAGCTCTTGCCCTAAAACATTGCACCACTTTACTTCTGAAGCGAGAAAACCGCTCCAGAAGGAGAAACCGGACCGCCCCGGCGAGACCTGCCCACCCATTCAATCGATAGCTAGAGTAATAGGTCGCGCACAATTCAAGACGGAGGGTCTCACCACAACACTGCGTCCTAACCTCGGCGGCAAGGGTTCATGTTCAGATTCAACTGCCTCTGCAATAGTCCTTTTTCGACAATATCGTGCTCTGCAAGGTACATTTTCGGAAGCAGTGGGAACAAGAAGCCCATAAGCAAAAAAGATTTGTTCGAGATTTTGCCCGGACGCTGTTGCTCCTAGCTTGTATTCTAAATTGTCTTTATTCAGCACGCTTTTTTCAGCAACCGGGTCTATTGGATATCTTATGTCTTTCAATTTAGAGCGTTTTGACTTGTGTTTTCTAGAATTTCACATCGGATTTACCTCTGTGAGTTCGAGAATAGCTAGTACCATGTTTGGTCGTTCTCTGGTTTTTTCTTTTTTTCCGAAGCATGGTGAGTGTATTAATGCAGTTTTCGGTGTTGCTTTATCAAAGAGATAGTTCTCTTGACGAAGTGGCCTTAAATAAGCTGCACAAATAGAATGCAGTAATGACCATTGACTTCAAACGTGTTTTCAGTATTGCTGAACGCCTCTACAAACGTTGAACATGCACAGTGCAAGCTAAGGCGCATTATTCCTTTTGGCTCACCGCTAGGTATGGGCTAAATAAAGCAACTCAGCTGCATGTGACCTAACATTAAGTCAAGACTATGTATGGCAAATATGTACTTCGCATGCACGATTTTTTGTACAATGTTTCAGCAGAAACGGAAGACAGTTTCATAGTCAGCGTTCTACGTTGCAGCCGATAGTGTAAGGTTTATTAGAATTGGCCACTTTGAATTCTGGATCCGTGGAATTTCTCCCAAGTGTGTGGCTAGTAAGATCTGTCCGACTGAAATATGTACTGCTCACAACCATGCCTTGGTCGGCGTAAACTTACGCGTCACCAAGCCCATTAATGATAGCGCACACCGACCCTGCGCTACGTAAGAATATCTCTTTGAGTTCCACGTGAAGCGGCGTTTTGCAAATTGCTTGCTAGAGGAGCTTTGACGTAAATGTTCAGAGTTATCAATTTTTTGGTATTAGAGAATTACTGAGAATAAACAAAAACAATTGTACATACACCACTTTGTTTAGTGCAAATGTAAGCTTTTCTACTATCCGTGACGCCGGAGAATCCCTTTCTCAGATTAAAAGGAAAGCGCCGAGCACATAGCTAATGAACAGCAGCCAGCAGATGTACGTTAGCAAATGTGTGGAGATTTCAAAAATAAAGAAATGATGATATACAAAAAAATAGGTGAGCAAATGTGAAAAAGCAATGTGGAGAAAAATAGCTCAAGCACGATCGTGCGGCTAAGTGATAAAATTTCAGTAAGACTCGTGATCAAAATGAACTTATCTTCTCTAATTTACAAGAGATAAATGGCTAAGCAGAAAAATCAGCGCTTTGACACTTAGGCACTTATCAGCCGATGATATTGACTGCATTTGGCGTGAATGTTCCAGAATGAGGTGCGAATTCAATTTTGTGTTGCAACCTAAGCTCACTCGTCAAGAACTAAATCTGAAAAATGTATCAAAGCACCGATGCTGAGGAGATCCAGAAATGTCACCTCTTCCTGTACTTGTTGGGGCAGAATATATCAAGGTTCAAACAAGGCCAATCGTAATGATTACTATAAGACTTAAAAATTTCTTATGAAGGAAGCTATCGTAAAAGTGGCCCTCGTTCTGTACGGCGAATTCTGTCAAAAACTACTTGTTGCTGGACCACTCGATTCTAGTAGGAAAGTAAAGAATCTTGAGATTTTTTGGCTTGCTGGAGAATGGTCAAAAGTTCAATTTGACTTATGCAATTTTATGCTCGCAAATTTAAAATTTTCCATATAGTTTTTTTTTGCGTGTTATTGGATTGGCCACGTGATAAAAGAAGTTTCCTGCTACTAAATCAATTTCAAAGGGAAATTTTGTCTGCCAAGGAACTTTTTCGCAAAAAAAAAACTCCTTTTCTTTTGTCTTTTATGAGTTGTTCTTACGAGCTACCGATGCAATTGAGGCTTTAGGTTGACATATCACTTTCATTGGTTTTATTGCATCGCTAATTATCATACTTTCGCGGAAACAACGAACTGAAACTTGGGAAAAACTGCATCAATCGTGCTACAACAACCAAGTCATGTACCACTTTGATAGGCTGCGGTCTAAGTGTGCAACTGAATGTAAAGCCATCCTCTTTATCGTTGACATTTCAGCATTCAGAGTTTATCACTTACTCAGTGTCCAAGACGTTTTCGCAAGGGTCATTATGCTCACATCTGAGATTTCCGCATTGGCCGTATATGTCAACGGGAAACAGCGTCTACACTTTGGCTTATTAGGTATGCAATGGATGCTAGAAAATAACCTACTTTCAGTTGATCTACGTATGATTCTCTACCACTTGATGCTCCACAGTTTGATACAAACCATGCAGCTCCTTTTGTTTTCTTCTCAATCTGCTCGACATTCAGTACCTATATGTTTGCTAAGTATTAATACTCTGCTGCATTTACACTTGTGACGTCTCTGCTCTTTGCCATTTTTTATAATATGCAACTACGCATGTGTCTCGCAAAGCGGTCGCCTTATCGCATACTGCTCTCACTTAACGCGCTTCATGATGACAGTCAGTCTTTTGGCGTGTTCGCCTTTAGAGCGAAAAGGGTGCGGCTTATACACCCGAAAATAGGGTAGTATTCTACCAGAACTCTTTACTGTTATTTTCAAATTAACATGCAAAAATTCGGTATTTATGAGATATGTAGCTGCGTAATTTGTACTGTTTTGCTTAATATCAAGAACTCTATGGTATTTTGCGTGCAAGAATTCTGCTCGTAAGCTATGCCGTTCTGTCGCTTCCATAATATGTCTGGTGCCAATTATAAACAGAAAAGCACTGAGTGCTTGCGAATGTCGTTCTCGTGTTCCTCGTCTGCGATCACTTCAATTAATGGAGTTCGGAGATGAGAATGCGCTATCGTTTTCTGTAGCGGCGTATCAGGACCCTCCCCCCTATATCCGCCGCCTCATCATGGCGTGGGGGTGGGCTGGGCTCGAACGGCAATGAGCAGTTAAGTGTATATTCTGGTAAACCTCTCAAGCTGAAATAGAGTTGGATATCTTTAGTTTCGGCCGGATGCACAGCTAAGAGTGGATCAAGCCAGATTCCCCGCCGACTGGCTTCTCGATCGCTAGGCGGTCTCGCTTTATACCTGGGGTTAGCGATCGCCCCGCGGAAGTCAACAGTGAGCCATTCTACTGCTGTAAGGAAAGCTTTTATCACTCTACAGCTAGAAGGAGATAAAGAAACAGGATGAAACAGAATTTCAGGAAGTACAAGCGCAAGCCAAGATATTGGAAGCAGCGAAGGAAGACGAAATTTAAAGAAGTGTCGAAGGGAGCTTATGAATATGACGTACCGCTGGCTGCGCTGTTGAGAATATGGGACCCCGACTTTTCCCAATATAAGATGGATTCTACAGTCTGCCCCAATCGGGATCAGGCCGAACCGTTGGTTGCATTTGCGCGCCTGCAACGCTAGGGGTTTGCGCTGCATACGCGCGCTGTCGCAGAGAGCGAAGAGAATGAGGAGAGGGCAGACAAGCTAGCCGCATACAGTCTGCCCCAATCCCAACCAGGCCAAAATTGGCATGGCGGGAGACCGCGCCGCTAGGGTTTCGCGGTCGCGTCCATGGCCTGCTTCTCTGCCCTCTCTTCAATCTTTTTGCTCTCTCCGACAGCGCGCACATGCATCGCAGACCGCTAGCGCTGCGAGCGCCCAAATTTACGCCGACGGTTAGGCCTGATCCCGATTGAAGCAGACTGTATGTGGCGCGAAACTCTCTTGACGCGGACTCCCGCCAGGCCGGTTTTGGCCTTTAGGATTGGGGCAGACTGTATCGCGAAGAACTTCTATAGCAATCTCTTTCGCTTATCAACACCGATGCCGGTGCCCGTTGTTCCCGGTGGAGGAGCATCACCGCGGATTTCACCCGCTGAGGTGCGCAAAGCGATCCAAACGTCACAAAGTCGTCCACGACTCCAGACCAGATATCATCTTTATGGCAACTTTTGCTAGCCAGAGGACAACGTCCACACGAGCGCATTTAACATCTTACTTTTGGAAGGAAAGAGTTTCCGATTAGTGAAGAACTTCAACAGCCGTCCTTCTTCAAAAAGGGCGAACGGCAGGATCTTCGGAACTACCGTTCAATATGCCTGCTGAGTGTATCGTACAAGCTTCTCACAAAGATCATTCTTGCTCGCATGTTTACTGGATGAAGCTTAGCTTCAAGGAATTTTTACAAAGGATCCAGCTGCATGAACCACATCCGGACGGTTTTAATAGTCATAGAAATCTGCCGGGAGTACACGGTGCAGCTACTACATCACCTTCTCCTAACTTTTAAGGGGTTCGATAAGGTAACACATCTCGCCAAAAAAAGTCCTTCATTTTGCAGACAACATCTTTCTCTTTCCGAGCAGTGTCACTGAAGCAGAGACGGTGCTGAAGGAACTAAACGAAGTAGGGAAGAAGAAATTGAGAGTAAATCGGAGGACTCAGTTTATGAAGAACGCCCTTCGCGAAGATGCGGAAATAAAGGCTCCTGTTATGGAGACTCCTCTTACGTGTATCTTGGACGTCCGACGAACAAAGAGAACTGCTTGGAAAACTTAACATGAGAAGAAAAGCAGTCTGGGCCGCCTTCGAGCCTTTGAAGGAAGTTACCGACATCTGACGGACTTGAAGCTTCATGCCTCCTGTTCAACTCAACCGTCCTCCCGGCGCTGTGTTACGCAGCTGAGATTTGGGGATGCTGTAGCCATGTCGAAAGCTCTGCAAACCACCGACAGAGCGATTGAGCGCATTCTTGTGAAGACGATCCTGATAAAAGTAACACCTAGTCGGACTTTGAAGTACGGATATGAGAAGAATGTTCGGTCTTCGTGACCCAGCGGAATACGTTGCGAAAGCGAAACACCGATGGGCCGGTCACACCATGAGAAGAATAGACGACAGGTGGACACTAAGAACATATGAGTGGTTCTCTCGCGAAGCAAACGTTCCCAAAGAAGACACCAACGAGATGGGCAGACGTGTTTGTGGAACAGATAGACCAGCGGAGAAATCAGCTGGAAACGATTTTCGTCCCTGGAAGTCGTGAACGCAGCCACCAACAACAATTAAGAAGATTGTGGATGTTTGAAGCAAGAGACAGGTATCACTGGCAACTTCTGAGCTGGGGCCCCTTGCACTTCGAGTGAAGACGGGCCGATTACCTAATGTAAGTAAGTATGTAAGTGTCAGGATCATCCTAAAACTCACCGCTTTCTCCTTGGCGCGCTCTTGGGAGGTAATATGCAACTTGTGCCTCACACTTACCTACCTCACACTACCTCATGTTGCGCATAAATCACACATATCTCTACTATCTTCACCTCGAACAATCGCCTTGTCTCTACTGGCATCAATTGCAAATGTCAGCACATAAATGACATTTGTAGGAAGTAATCAAAGTGAAAGTGTTGTGAAAAAACTTCCACTGTATTCAGGCTGGTAAGGAAAGTATTTTTAGACGTTGCCATTGAAAATGTGCTAAGTGAGAAAGACATTGCTTGCTGTCCACGCACCCTTATCAGCGGATCGCATTTCAATTCTGAGTATATTTTGAGAAATACTGTGCAGAAAGATAGATAGATCATCTTTTTTTGAAATGTTCAGTTGACCACGTAGATTAAAAATTCATTTACTTATAAAAAGAGAAGCTTTTAAGTCGGTATGTTATTTATTTAGTGAGAGTAGATTCAAAACGGACTTCAAAACTTTTACAATTGATTGCCCGCATTCTTTCATGTTTTCACAGCACTTTCATGTTTTGGTTGTTGATTGCAAATGTCGTTTGCTTATCCTTGCAATAAATGTCAGGATAAACAACGCGATTTTAGTGCGAGATATGTGCGGCAGAAGTGTGAGGTAGGCGCGAGTTCAAACAGTCTATTAACACGACGACCGCTTGACATAACCTCGAGTCATTTGTAACTTAATATGTGAGATTGCACACTAAGCCCTATCAGCGACGGCGCCCATACTAGTAATATCCCAGTAAAACATTTTCTAGCCTAACAAAATGTGGGAATGTGTTCTACTAACTTACATATAGCCGACTAAAACAAAAGAAACAAGGAAACAAGGAGAAATCACTGGAAATGAGCAGGTTCTAGTTTCGCAGTTCGTCAGTTAGTGTGTATAGTGTGCACTATGCATATTAAGTTACCAATGATTCGACGATACAAGGCTTGTATTTCGTTAAAATGACGAACATCTTGAGAGGAACTAACTCTAGGGTCTTTCCTTTGTACTGTACGTAAACCAATTTGACTAGCCTTTCAGAGGTATGTAGGTAAGTTGTAGATGGCAGTATGTACCATCTAATTTGAAAGACGTTGACTGGCCTATGAAAGGCCCCGGTCCCAAAGAGCAGACAACCAAAATTTTGCATGATCGTCAATGCGTTCAAGGCAGTGTCCAAGCAAAAACTCGAATTTAGAAGATCCACTTACTGGGAGTTGTCCGCAATGAAAATCCACTTACTGGGAGTTATCCGCAATGAATCCAAGAATCCACATAAGGGAGCCTCAAGGCCGCGCCGGGACCGCGCCGGTTATTGCTTTTGCAGCCGGTAGCTGCTTTCGCGCAGGTTGCCGCTATTGCAGCTGAAGCGCACTGTGTCAGATTTTGTTCTTGGAGCGTAGCCTATTGGCACTAGATGCTAGGCTTTTCGATTTTTTCGTCATCACTCTTTTGCTTCCAAAGTTCTCTTCTTTGCTGTAGTAATTCATTGCAGATATGGTTCATTTGATCTGGATTCCTTTTTTTCGGTCGTCTACGATGCTGAAAATATCGATTCATTGTCGAATGAAACTCTTTTAGTCTAAATCCCGCTGTAGAGCTATTGCTGGATTGCAAGGCAAAGCCTTCTCGACGTCTGTCTCGTTTTGAAACTGGTTTACTATGCTGGATGAGCGAGTGCGAAAGTACTTTCTTTGTTTTTGAAGCTGTTCTATCGTGCCGTAGCAGCGGTCTAGCTGCAGAACTCAAATTCTCTGTACTGTTTTGCTTTTAATACTTCACTGCGCTGACTAGCTCTATTTCAAAGCAAAGTCATTTGGTGCCTTCTCCTTCTCCACTCAAGGTATATATCTTTACTTCAGCATAGCAAAATAGCTAACCTTGAGTAGTTAAACTTATATCGTTAACTGTACTCAAGCAGTATAGTAGAGTAGCTTCAAAATTAGAAGTGCTAAAAACAGCGTTTTGCGATGATATCGTCCAATCAGCAGACCAACCTCAAATCGGTAAAGACATCGAGAAACCGTGCCTGCACAGCAGAGCAATATCATCAAAACGAAAGCTGTGCAAAAAAAAGCGTTCCGCAAAGATTTATTAGCTCCTAGATTTGTGTGGAGGCGGGTTGCGGGCTTCCCCTGATTTTAATGGTAAAGTTAACGAAAGAGTACGAAAAACAATGCTGCATGAAGTTAACAAGTTCACACTTACATTCAGGGAAAGTCTGCAACCCGACGTCCTTAATATAAGTAGCATAGCTTCAAAACTAAAAGACAAATTCAAAGAAACCTTGTTCTACGAAATCGATCAACTACCGTAAAAGAATATCCTTGAAACGAATGAAAGACAAAACGCCGTTCATCACCTTTTTGCCCAAAGAAACGACTCTACACGGGAGGTAGATTGAATATTCGACGATAAGTCGACTATTCCAGCATCGTAGAACCTCCAATGAATTAATTACGGAAAGACGACCTGGGAGAAGAGTGGTGGCAAAAGAATCTAGAATCCTTGTGTTTAGTGCCAAAAGGCTTTCATAACGCTCCAAGGACAAAATCTGACACAATGCGCTTCAGCTGCTATAGCGGCAACCGGCGCGAAAGCAGCTACTGGCTGCAAAAGCGACAACCGGCGCGGTTTCGGTGCGGTCTGGGAGCTCCCTAAGAAGGCGCGAAAATGGCGAGAGCATGCGTTTTCCACAGCCTTGCAATTTGAAATTCGACGGTGCCCTCCAAAGCTGAGATGCAGAGTCGCTGGGGCGCTCTACGATTTTGATTATGGCGGCATGCGTACTCTGCATAGCAAGAATTCAAACAGGCTCGGAGGAGCCGCCCCAAGGCGTAAGTTCTCACTTTCTGACCGTTTTTTCCTTTCGAACGTTATAACCTCGTATTCGTACTTTCTGTGACCGAGGGGCCACTTTCGCATGGCACCGAAATCCCGAAACCCCACCTTGTCCGGGCGCTGCCTTAGGCGTTTCGCAGAAAAACCGGTACCTGAGAATCCTGCATGTTCTTCCTTCTATTATACTATTTGCAATTAACTGAACAATAGGCATAGGTACGTTGAAAACAAGAAGCACTATACGAAATGTTTTATTTGTCGTTGAATGTAGCCTTGAGCATTCTGTAAGTGACTCATCGCCTGTGAACCTCCGAAGGATTTGTCTGATGCAACGCTCCCTCCCACAAAATCGCTGTTCAATGCTGCGTCATTTATTACTGTTTACAGGAACACTGTCACTAAGTTGCTGAACTTGCTATTAACCGTACTGCGCGCAAAAAATAAAACAGCCATTAACCCTCTAGAAAGAATTGTTTGTCTCTGCTCTCCGAGTCTCCTTGTTAAAACGTGAATAACATTTAGCGTTTTCATATGCAAGTTGCAAAACAATTATCTCCTTTTGGTGCCAATAAAAACAACTGGCCTGTTTTAAATGTCGCGGTTTTGATCTCTCTGCTAATCTCACAGTGTATCCGTAAGGAGAAGATACGGGAGAGTCCTGTCGAAATCCAATAGTCATATTACACCAGTTTTTCTCACCGCCAAACGGATTTGAACTTGGAGATTCCTTAACCATTGGGCTTATGGTGTCCCTCATGTAGAAGTACAAGAACAAGAGTACGAAAACATGCGAATTTCCAAGCGATGATGTCTGATGGCTCTTTTCAGCGGATTAAGCTTAGATGATTGTATAATAAATTTCTTTGATTTTTCCGCTCATCATGAAACGATTCGTATAGGGCTTGAAAAATCGTGACGATGGCGCGACCGCGCGCAACATGCACGCACTTCCACTTCTTGGTTTCTATCTCTACTCAAATAGCTTTTCTGCTTATATATGATGGTATTCAGGTACTGGAAGTAACTTAGCAGCGTTGAGGTGTTGCCTGTTTGTGTGGGTGTTTTATCCCTTTGTGTACGGAAAAACCGCAGTCAACTCGTCGTCACGATTTCAAAAATGAACCATACGCAGTATTGCAGTGATACATTGTAAAAGCAGTATTACATTGTAAAAGCATTATCTACTAGCTATCATTGCTTCTTCAAAGGTACGAAACAAAAATTTCAAGAAAGAACCAAATTTGGACAAAAAGTGCTAGGTTAAAACATCGTGGTTTATAAAGCGTTTTTTGGAAGAATTTTCTTTGAAACATAACTATAAGAAGGATCAAGCAATTGTACTCCAAATATTACATCAAAAGTTTATACCATCTTTTCAAAGAATTTGAGAACTGGTCCAAAAAACATCACAAATTTGGCAGTGATAATTTAGGTAATCGACTACGAGAAAAATTTCTAGTCCGAATGCTAAACAAACCCACTGAATATCTCCTAGTTTGAAAAAGCATAGCTCAATCTCAAAAGTTTGGGATGGCTTGAACTCTGCTCATTGTGTAGCCAATAATTAGTTGAGCAATAAAGTGAAGTTTAAATTTTGTTGTTAGAAGATATTGTACAAAAACATGAAATTACCCATTTTTTGCGTTTTAGGGAAAGCAAAAAATTGCCTTGTTGGAATCCTGTCCTTTACGTTTCTAAAGAATGTGGGGTTTGTCATTCTTGCACATTGTACTAAGCCCGCTCTAGTTGCACCGAAAGAGAATTTTGCAATCGTTTTAGCTTAATATGCAGCAAAAGCCCCAGCAACCAATGCGTCGAATTTCTCAATTGAAGATCTATCAAAAATCTAGCCTTGGTAAGCATTTTTATCAATTTACAACTATGAAGCATTTGTATTAACAAATTCGACTATTGCTTAAGATAGAGTAATGACAGGAAAAGAATGAATTTCAATGAATTTCAAGTTTTAGTCTCTTATCTCAAAGGGAACTTTTCAACAGTGATTTGCGACAATAAAATCACCTTTCAAATAACCTAGCAAGCTTCCAAGAAAAACTGCATCCCTTTGCAAAACAGTGTTTGAAAGAAAAAGGCTAGAGAAACGTGAGAAATTCAAGAATTCATCCAACATTACATTTTTTCAACCATCAATGAAATAGCCTCGCAAGGATACTTCGTAGAAAACCAATGGTCTGCTACTTTATTATAATGCCTCAAACGTCATCAGCGGCTAGAAAGAAGGCTCGACTAACCTGACTGTAGAAAACAAGATATTGGTTTGGTCGTAGTTTTATCTTGGTATACGTAGAAACAATAATCTGAAAATAGTTCTTTTATTTCGTTTTTAAACATTTTACTAGTACCCTGATTTCGAAGAGCTTGATACCGCGCCGACCAAAGCTTTTGCAGCCGGTGGCCACTTCTGCACGGTCTGCCCCTTTTGCAACCGAAGTGCAGTAGGTCAAGTGCAGTAGGTTATTCTCTGGCCCGCTGTGTACAAAACTTCACCCATGTCTCCAAATTGAGGCGCTTCGGTTTAATTCACAATTTTAATTTTCAAAATTTAATTTTTAAAAACACAAACTTTTTCAATTCTTCTGTTGTGGATATTTGCGATGATACTTATTGGAATGTGGTTGTACTATAGCGTGATATATTGGTTTTAGGGACAAGTACATGGACTATTCTACTAGGTTGTCCGGAAATTAATGCCCGTTCTGAATTTCAACCGCAATAAGTCATACACTTCTCATTTCTAAATAGGCTGCAAAGTACCTTTCGATAGAGCAAAGCAAGCTCTACAAGATGGCAATCTTGATTTGCAACAGCTCTCATCCACCTTTAGTTTCGAGCCAAAAACTACAAAGACTTAGCACCCGAAAAATCGAAAAAAATCGTAACTCAGTTCATAAAAATCCTACAAATTTTCTTACTTGCTCACGTAAACAGCGTCCACATAAAACACCTATATACGCCTTGCCGTATTTTTTTCTCTGTTAGAAATCAAAAAAAAGAGAAATTTTCGGGCATTTGCCAAAGTGATGCTGTGCCGTCTCCACATAGGTACTTGTATACCACAAGCCTCTAGAAGTACAGACTTAAATTTTCAGCCCCCTACAAGCTTTAGTTCTCGAGTAATACCGAATATAGGTTTCCCTAATTAGGTGGTCCAAGTTAAAATTCAAATTTCTCGAAAACTGAAGCTTGTAGAGAGCTGAGAATTTACGTTTGTACTTCTACAGACTTGTAGTATACAAGTACTTATGTGGGGACGCACAGACCACTTTGGCAAATGCACGAAAATTTCCTTTTTCTTGATTTCTAACAGAGGAAAAAATACGGCAAAGGCCTATATAGATGTTTCATGCGGACAGAGTTTACGTGAACAAGTAAGAATTTTTGTAGGATTTTTATGAACTGAGTTACGATTATGTTATAAGTCCTTCTATCTTGAAACCTGGGCATGCTACAGACAGTCTCAGTCTTTTTCTTTGCCGTACAGGTTTGTTATGGTAGTACCTTTATTGCCTTACGTTTCGGCTACACGCCGTCTTCAGAGGCCTGAAAGGAGTCAGTCACATTGATGTTTGCTCTTGGCCGCCAAACACCTCCTCTCACTCGCGTATTCGATTCGTCCAGTGTAGAGAAAGCAGGTCTGGCTACGCGAGTGAGAGGAGGTGTTTGGCGGCCAAGAGCGAACATCAATGTGACTGACTCCTTTCAGGCCTCTGAAGACGGCGTGTAGCCGAAACGTAAGGCAATAAAGGTACTACCATAACAAACCTATACGGCAAAGAAAAAGACTGAGACTGTCTGAGTTACGATTTTTTTCGATTTTTCGGGCTGCTGAGCCTTTTTAGTTTTTGGCTCGAAACTCGAGGTGGATGAGAGCTGTTGCAAAAGCAAGATGGCCATGTTGTAGAGCTTGCTTTGCTCTAACGAAAGGTACTTTGCAGCCTATTTAGAAATGAGAAGTGTGTGACTTACTGCGCTTGAAATACAAAACGGGCATTAATTTCCGGACAACCTAATATTGTCTTGCCAAACAAGCTTATTCTTTATTTTCTTGGTCACGCTTAATTGTAATCCTTGCAGATTTTTGCTCCTTCTTTTTTGTTATGATTATGCACTACTATGTATAGCGCATCCACCTTTGCAAATATGCTTGAACAATGAAAAATAAAACTTAATTATGATCATAAGGGTACGCTCAGGTTTTATTTTCCCTCCTTTATACATGCGATAATGTGATTTTGCAGAGTTGCATGCTTTTGACGCGAATTTATGCAGTAACACAGTGATCGGTTCTAGCAATGAAACTCATTCGCAAACATAGAAACCTGAACTTGTAAAAGAAAAATGTGATGACCAGCTTTACTTGATGCAACATCAGAAAGATCGGATAGAATTATGAAACACCACCGGATACCAATGAAAACCAGATTGCATGTCTGAGAATGCAAACACGGCAATCTTGAGAAAAACGAAACGCACACTCAGAAGTCGAAAATTAAAGAGGTTGTAAGATGATGCGAACAATGCAAGGACGGTCTAGCAATACCAAAATTGGCGAAGACAAGAAGAGAACCCTACCAGTTTTATTTAATACTAGCTGGCTTACCCGGCTCCGCCGTATCCGGACCAAACTTGGCACACATACACTTCGGGCCCCGGCGGGTGTCACAGTCCACTTTTCGTTATCGATCGATGTCGATTTTACCGATTTTTATCGATTTTTTTGCAGAGTTCACCTACAGGGCTAGGAGTTGGCACAGGGGGGGGGGAAGTGAGCATGGGGATTCCGAATACAATATTACTTTTTAGAATTATCGATTACTTTTATTGATTTTATCGATTTTTTGTTAATTTTGACATGCGAGGCTGGGATTTTGCACAGGGGGGTAATCGAGCATGCTGATTACGAACACAATATTAGTTTTCAGGATCGTCCATTACTTTTATCGATTTTATCGATTTTTTTTGTAAAGTTTGACCTGCGGGGCTGGGAGTTTGCACAGGGGGGTAATCGAGCATGCTGATCATCCCAAGGGGGATGATCAGCATGCTCGATTACACCCCTGTGCCAAATTCCAGCCCCCTAGCTCAAATTTTCAAAAAATCGATAAAATCGATAAAAGTAATGGACGATCTTGAAAACTAATATTGTATTCGTAATCTGCATGCTCGATTACCCCCCTGTGCCAACTCCCAGCCCCGTAGGTGAACTCAGCAAAAAAATCGATAAAAATCGATAAAATCGATATCGATCGATGACGAAAAGTAGCCTATGACACCCGCCGGGGCCCGTAGTGTATGTGTGCCAAGTTTGGTCCGGATCGGTTCAGAAATGGAATTTTCTATTCGGAACATACGTACAGACAGACAGACAGACAGACATACAGACATACAGACAGACAGACAAACAGACATTCAGCTTTATATATAAGATGACCACAGGCTGCTTCACATGCAAAGAAGGAGACAAAAAAATTGTAGAGCGAAGATAGGCAGTGTCCCCGCAAGATTTCGCTTCCCTGTTTTTCACCTCTTCGGGTCTTCTCGTAATGCTGAAGAAATATTTGAACTTCAGCGCCTGAAAATGGGAAAAATGAGCTCTTTACAAAGCTCCCCGTGTCCGCGTTCGCTCTAAATCACATGTAAGAAGTGGGCGGGCCTGGAAATGAGCGCGGTTCGGAAGACTTCCGGAGCGGATTTTGGGCTTTCTAGAAGCCTTTTTGCCTAAATATCACTGATAGACTATCCGGAGGGTCTATCCTTGGAACACTGTAAAATCCCGATAACCATCCTTTTGAGGGGACGCTGCCTCTGTTGTGGGCCGCTGCACGCATTCCGAAGATTTTGACTCACTCTGGCCGGCTGAAAAAGCTGGAACTAACCCGATATAAAGGCTCTCTTAGAATAGATGACATGTTTATTACTCTTTACATACTGAACTGTGAGCAGGGAAAAGAGTACCCCCGTTAGGCCTCGGGTAGAGTTCACGCGATTTGATCGTCACGATTCAATCGCGACCAGACAACTGTTACGAGTTCATTGCATGCCGACCAGCTTGCATTTCGGTTGTGATGCTTTTCCAGCCCGAAATTTTTGAATGTAAAATGAAAATGAATGGAAATCGCGGCGATTGAATCGCGACGATCAAATCGCGTGAACTCTGTCCGAGGCCTCACTTCACCTCCGCAGATTACCATCGGCTTCTTATGTGCTGTAACAGACAGCGGGGGACCAAGGGTGTAGGCTGCGATGCTTTCAAAGTGGTTTGCACGATTTACGAAGTAGCATGTGACATATTTTTTAAATTTAAAGCAAGTAACACTTCCTTTGATATAAAATTTACATAGGCCATGTGATAGAACTTCTTTGATCGGCGCGTCAAAATTGAAAGTGTCTTGAAACCCTCACAAGAACATGCCCGATGAGCTTTTCAAACTCAAAAAATCCTCCCCCCCCCCCCCTCCCTCCTGAAAAAAAATTGGGAGAGCTACCCACTACAGCAACGCCACAATATCGATGGTGGCCGTTTCTGTTCCTCTACTCCTGCGTTCTTCGTAAAAGAACACAACATTCTCTAAAGGCAGAGCAAGATTTCAGGAGATCTCTGAATCACAAGAGTTGAACGCTAAGTGCGGCATGAAGATTTTGCTGTCAATTAATTCACAGCAATGAATATGAAAATTGAACTGCAGGTAGAGCGTAAGAACTTGTCGTAGATTATTTGCGAATCTACGACCTTTACCATTGTAGAGTCATATTGTATGCTATATTCAGTATCCACTAGCTTGTCGTTGACAGACATGACTGTTCACTGACCACTTAAGCCGCCAGGTCACCCCTCCACTGTGCTTGATAGTCTACTTGGCGGCGCCTACTTTCATGTAGGCAATCCTTGATTCTGTATGATACTGTTATTTGCCAGAAGTGAGCATTCAGGTTATCCACGCCCAAAATAGTGGCATAAAAGGGCCTGAATACTCAGTTCTGGTGTTGGTTCGATTAATACCACTATCGTCAGCGGCTGTTCCGCATTATTCACTGTTGATAGTCAGCGGCTGCTCCGCTACTATCTAATAAACAGTTATACCCGTTGTGGTACCAGCTTGGTGTATACCAAATTGGTGCATCGGCCAACGGATCGTCTCTTCGGTGCTGCTCACCGAAATTCGATAAAAGTCCCGCGTGGCAGGCTACTAACAGCCGATTATTCGACTCTCGTGATTGCTGGTTCATCCACTTTCGCGACCAAGAGTCTTACTAAGCTGTCAGGTCCTATCCACAGCTTAGTAGAGGTTTCTAGCTAACTGACTGGTTCATCCACAGTTAGCAACAGACTCCTCGCACTCTAGGCTACTAATTAGCCAATATTCGACTCTAGTAATTGTTGGTTCATCCACTTTTACTAATACGAGTCTTGCTAAGCTATCCCATAGCTTAGCAGAGGTTTTCTAACTAGCTGACTGGTTCATCCACAGTTAGTAAAAGAACTCCTCGAACTTTTTTTGGCTTCCAACAGCCAAAAAAGACTCTGTGATTGCTGGTCCATCCACTTTCACATACAAGAGTCAACTCACTAAGCTATCAGGTCCTATCCATAGCTTAGAGAGGTGTTCTAACTAGCTGACTGGTTCATCCACAGTTAGTAAAAGAACTCCTCGAACTTTTTTTGGCTTTCAACAGCCAAAAAAGACTCTGTGATTGCTGGTCCATCCACTTTCACATAAAGAGTCAACTCGCTAAAGCTATCAGGTCCTATCCATAGCTTAGCAGAGGGTTCTAACTAGCTGACTGGTTCATCCACAGTTAGTAAAAGAACTCCTCGAATTTTTTTTGGCTTCCTATAGCCAAAAAAACTCTGTGATTGCTGGTTCATCCACTTTCACGTACAAGAGCCACATTACTAAGCTGTTAGGTCCAATCCACAGCTTAGTAAAGAGGTCTAACTAGCTGCTCGGTCAATCCACAGTTAGCAGACGACCCTCTTAAGCTCCTTGACGGTTGATCAATCAAAGCAAGAGCTTGCTGCTAGCTATCAGGTCAATCTATAGCTTAGCAAAAACAAACTCCTATCAGCCTTCTGTACGCATCAAGTCCATGCGCACCAGACAAACAATGGCTGAGCTAGCTGGATTCAAAACACGCATCACAGTGGCTTGCTCTTCAGTTGGCAGCCTCCAGAGCAAAATCAGGGAAATAGATCAAGCCTTCAACTTCCCAACAACGGCAACGGAATGCAACGCCTTCATTGTGGATAAAATGGCAGAAATTGAGGAGGCAGAAATTTCTCTCAAAGGCTTTTTGGAATACCTGGAAGCACAGATCCAGAATGCTATGAACTTTCTCGGATCAAGAAAAGACCAATCAGAAAGAGAAAGGTTATGACTGATCTTGATGTATTTCTTTCTACTGAAGCAAACACAGTGCAGATGGAAGCTATTAACTGGTCAAATAGGCTAAAATACCGGATGAGGGAATTGGAAAAACAGTCGAGCCTAATTCATGCAATAGCATCGTCCTCGATGCGAACATCAGTGCAGGACACCGACACGGATAGTTGTCTATCAACAAGACAACACAACGAGAACAAAGTCCGATTACCAGTGCTTGAAGTTCCAACGTTTAATGGAAACTACAAAGACTATCCAACATTTTGGACAATTTTCGACTCGCTCATCCATAGCAACTCACAGCTCAGCAACACGGATAAGTTCCTATTTCTGAGGCAAGCACTGAAAGGATCAGCTGCTTCCATGCTTGGCAATATCCCTGTGATAGGGAAAAATTACGACAAAGCTGTGAAACTTCTCGACAAAAGATACAACAAATCTGGATGTATAGCCGATATTCTCATCACAGAACTCGAAAAACTTCCGCGAGCAAAGGAAGACGCAAGTAGCTGCCGAAAAATGTTAACCGATGTGACTGAAAAGCTCACTCACATTGAGTGTGCGGGAGTCACCTTGGACAACGGGCGAATGTGGAGACGATTGATACTCTCAAAATTCCCAACATCACTGAGCGAAAAGGTGTTCAGCAAAGAGCAAAACGAAGACAAACCGTTTTCTACCGAGGAAATACTAGAAATCCTGGAAAGTGCGGTAGCTCTCAAGGAAACAATCGCCCTTTCAATGGACACATTCCAAGCATTCGAGGACTGCAAAATTATGGCACGCTCTAATTCCGATCAAGATGCTGATGAAAGGCTGAACTATGAAGAAGACTCAATCGCATACAATTCGAACTACGGTCAAGGAAATAGATCTTCGAGAGATTCGAGTGCTCAATGCATCTGCGGAAGTTACCAACATGATGCGACGAGATGCACAACATTCCAAACAGCAGCAGAGCGACGTGATGAAGCCAGGAAACAAAGGCTGTGCTTCAGATGTCTTCAAACCGATCACAGGATTAGTGATTGCACAAGCTCACAGTTCTGCTACAAGTGCCACGAAAACCACCACACTGCCGTATGCATGGGTAGCTATCCGGCATCTAGAGGCACCCCAACCAGGCGATCGCAGCAACGATCTGCTCGCGATCAAGATCTCCCGAGAAACCCTGAATTTGCGCAAAATTCTGAAATTCTCCACAACAAGAGCGCGAAGCGAGAAAGAGGAATGCAGCACGTACTGATGACGGCGACTGCACTCGCATACGACTACACATCGACCAGCTATAAGCCCGTAACTGTTTTCTTTGATGGAGGTGCACAAAAGAGCTTCATCAATGCAAAGAAGACCCAAGCTCTTGGCTCACCAGTGCTGCAAAACACCATTTTCAAGATTGGCGGCTTCGGAGGATCTACCGCACATTTCACATCCAGTGAAGTCCCGCTCACACTTAGAACAACGTCTGCTGGAGTCGCTATCAAAGCCGTGAAGATACACACAAAGTCAACATTCACTTCCGCGATGAGTACAGCTTGGCTAAGCGAAGAGAATAGAAGGTTGATTCGAAAAAGAAAGATTCGAGTAGCACAACCGGATCTGAAGACGCGACGGTTCACACCGGACATTCTCATTGGTCAAGATCTGATCGATCAATTCATCTTGAGGGATCGACCATGTAAAATTCTTCCGTCAGGACTTATTCTCACTCCTACTGTTTTCGGTCATGCAATCTCCGGAAGCAGTCCGATATATGGAATCAAGATGGAGGAGCATTCGCAGAACACCGCAATCACCATGGTCTCCTACAATCATCCAGTGAGTAAAGGAAACTCAATGAAGCAGAAGCCAGTTAGAAGCGTCGAACAAGCTGAGCGCAAAACTTCCAAACGCCGAGCAAAGAAGCTCAGTCGTCCGTATCCGATGAATATGTTCGCACAACCTGAGAAGTCATCTACGAAACACGAAAGCTGCCAACGTAACAGCGCATCTCGTGGACAACAATTCGATCGCAAACGCCGAAAACCAAGGGCTCAAGGACAATTCGTGAAGATGATTACTGATGCTCAACCGAGATGTCTCGCTTCAGCGTCGCGCCTGGCCCCGAAGGCCGACCACGGCATGATGACCGACCACCGTACGATTCTTAGACGAGGACACAAACCTGTTGTAGAAGTCATGTGATATATGTAATTTAACTAATTGTGATGATGTAATTTGAATTTGTTAACGCTTCAGTAATAGTGTAATTTGTATCTTCTTGCTTTCGCGCCTTCCGTCGCGCGCCCCACTGTCGTAGATTATTTGCGAATCTACGACCTTTACCATTGTAGAGTCATATTGTATGCTATATTCAGTATCCACTAGCTTGTCGTTGACAGACATGACTGTTCACTGACCACTTAAGCGCCAGGTCACCCCTCCACTGTGCTTGATAGTCTACTTGGCGGCGCCTACTTTCATGTAGGCAATCCTTGATTCTGTATGATACTGTTATTTGCCAGAAGTGAGCATTCAGGTTATCTACGCCCAAAATAGTGGCATGAAAGGGCCTGAATACTCAGTTCTGGTGTTGGTTCGATTAATACCACTATCGTCAGCGGCTGTTCCGCATTATTCACTGTTGATAGTCAGCGGCTGCTCCGCTACTATCTAATAAACAGTTATACCCGTTGTGGTACCAGCTTGGTGTATACCAAAGAACTTCTTATTACCTACAATCGGTTGGCCATGTTCAAGAGAACTTATAAGCGATTTTTCATTAACCTAAATGTTGGAATAAGCTAGTACTCAAGAAAGACACTTGCCCATGAAACTTTTCATAAGCAGTCACAAAGATGTCTGGATCTACGAATGCGGCAAAGGAATGTGTTGTTCCGTTTGCTCGTCAGGATGTTTGCGCTTGAGTAATCTTTGTTTACTGTAGCAAGAGACCGCACCATTGCCATCGTGACCCACCATTTCTTTTGCTATAACTCAAGAAAATGCAACATACTGCATCGGCGGTTTCCAAAGCAGATGAACTTCTACTGAGTTCGCAGTTCCAATCCGGGCATGCAGCCAAACTTCCATCAACGTCACTTTGCAAAAACACAATTTTTCGTTTTTGTCCTAAAAACCGACGAGACTAGTGCACATGGTGGAGTAGTATTAATTTTAATTACTGCATGTTTATGTCTAATCGTTTCGAAAATAAGGTACTGACGTGTTAGAACCATCATACACTTAACAGTTTACTGCTTAAATTAACAGAAGAAGATGAAACTAGCTCAGGAAAAGCGAAAAAATAATAGACAAATTTATGACCTTAAGTCATCTCTAATTTTAGCAATCTCTTCTAGCCCGAAACTTCCAGAGCAACTGACAAAGCCCTATCATCACACTTATAAAGGTGTTGCGGATTAAGCCGGCTATCGCATTTTAAATCTCATATTTAACAGCAATGCTAATTTTCAGCAAATATTCACTTACGGTAGTAAATGCATTGGAAAACCAAGATTTTTCCCGTTACCTTTCTTGTGTTTGCACTTCATTCTTTCAGCCAAAGAAATGTTCATAAGATTCAATACGTCTTCACCATAAAATGAGAGTGTTGGCGTGATGTTAAATAGAAACTCGGAATCGCTCTTGTCAGTTGTGTCTCCCTAAAAGTTCAGCACAAGATTCTGCAACGTCAAAGTTTGGCGCTCATTTCTAGTATAAAAATGAAATCATATTCCAATTATTTTATTCATATGACTCATTTCCAGCAGAATCTCTGAAAACATACATGGTTCCAAGCTACCTTTTACAGTTTTACATGTTAAAAAATGTTGAGAAAAATCGACACGGCTTGTAGTCATTGCACTATTTCCGTTTGCTAGATTTGTCATAAGTTTTTCATTCATTGCAAAAACATTCAAATTAGCTTGTAAATTTCAAAAAAAAATAATCGTTTTTATCATGTGATTTAAAATGAATTCATAAAAAAGTTGATATTCGCGTGTTTCGGTGCAAACAAATTCTAAATGGCAATCTCCACTTCGAATGAGCTGAAGTGCTTCAAAGTGTTCATTAGGCTTTGGCCATACTTTGCCCGTGTTGCCGGTGTTGAAAGTGTTGAAAGTGTTGAAAGTGTTGCCAGTGTTGAAAGTGTTGCCAGTGTTGAAAGTGTTGCCGGTGTTGAAAGTGTTGAACGGAGGTCATCAGTCTAGCAGTTTCATTCTTTCTCGAACGATCTCAACGGCTGGTGAATACGTTGGAAATGGAATTGGGGAATGAGAAATGAAACTGAAATGAGATGGGGAATGTTCTCGCATGCAAAAGACCCTCAAACAAACTTTTTGAAGAGTGGACGGCTTGTCTGGAATAGGCAATCTCCAATATTTGAAAAAGCTGAAGTCTGAGCAGTAATGTGTGTTTTAGTTCGAATCCTGCCGCGCTTGCGATTAGTGAGTAAAGGACCTAAGTGAGGTTTGCAGCGTTTTCCTATTCCAGACAAGCCGTCCACTTTTCAAAAAGTTTGTTTGAGGATCTTTTGCATGCGAAAACATTCCCTATCTCATTTCAGTTTCATTTCTCATTCCCCAATTCCATTTCCAACGTATTCACCAGCCGGTGAGATCGTTCGAGAAAGAATGAAACTGCTAGACTGATGATCTCCGTTCAACACTTTCAACACCGGCAACACTTTCAACACTTTCAACACTTTCAACACTTTCAACACTTTCGACACCGGCAACACTTTCAACACCGGCAACACGGGCGAAGTATGGCCAAAGCCTTACCTGCAAATTTCAAGGCCAGCAAGGAAAATTTGGTACCAGTCGTTCTACTCGAACTATGTTCAAGGCTTTGGCCATACTTTGGAGCCGGGCATACTTCACGCGATTCCAGAATATAGTAAGTCCATAACTCCCTGTAAGCACATTTTAAACGTACGGAATATAGGATATTTTATCTCCATGTAAATTATGCACACTATGCATGTGCGGAATGCTAGTGCTCGATCTGAAAACTTCTGGCGAATTGCCAAAACGCGTCGCGACTGAAATCGCGTGAAGTATGCCCGGCCCTTTATCTGTCTTACCCGTGTTACCGGTGTTACCAGTGTTACTCGTGTTACTCGTGTTACCAGTATTACTAGGTTTACCCGTGCTATTCGCGTTATTCGTGTTGATGGTTTTACTAGTGTTACCGCTTTTATTGCTGTTGTATAATGAAATGATCACGATATAGTCTCATTTTGAAACGCAATATCATTGACTGGTGAGTAACACGAGTAACACGAGTAACACCGGTAACACGGGTAACACGAGTAAGACGAGTAAAGTATGGCCAAAATCTAATACTCACACTTTTTCAATCTTTGGACTGGACACTTCCTACAAAAGCTGCCAATTTGAAATAAAATTTTTGCGCTCTATTTGAAGTAAAAACTCGAATAGTTACTCAATTTTTTATGGAATGCGTGGGACCTGAATCTGTGCTTTTCCCGTATTCGACACCGATGAACGTGCAGTTTATTGCAAAAATCTTAATCTTTGTTGTAGCTAATTTTATATCTTGTGATTTATGAGGCTGCATTTTGATAAAATTGTCAAATCATAACACTCTACCATTGATAAATTAAAATTTGCTTTAATTCCATATTTAATCAATTTCGCTATGGTAAGTATTCGGAGTTAGCCTCTCACTGTAATAATGTAGCAGTTTCTACACGTGCTGGGGTAGTTATGCATAGAACTTACTGCAGCTTTGTTCTCGCCGTCTTGCTGCGTTTGCAAACAAATGAGGAAGAATAAACAGATATAAATGATGAGACAAATAATTAGAATTCGTTTATTTCGAGCTGTTTTAAACTCCCTTATTTTTGTCCTGCAATAGGGAAAATGTGTTACGATGCAGTTGGAGCAATCAATTGTTACTGTACATTTGCAAAACTGTAGGCACCGAGAAAACCTGGAGGCAAAGTAAAGAATGAAGAAGAGTCATGATAAACCAGCTTGAAAGCTATCACCTGTTTTATACAAGTAGGCGAACTAATCTGTTCTCTGCTGTTCTGACACGTTCTTGTTTATTAAGTCGATTCGAAGATCCGCTTCGTCTTTATACTATACTTGAATGATTTGAAGTGATAGGAAAGCGCTTTGACTAGTGAACGAGGCCGAAAATCTTCAGACATTCGGAAAGGCTTTGATAACAGTTGTATATAGCAAGCAAAGTCCACTACGATGCATTTTTTAGCATTTGAAGCTGGCTTTTCGAAGTTTCAGAGGAAAAATCTTTCTGATGCCACTAATTTGCATATTTGGTTAATCTAAACGTTATAGAACATCAAGCGACAAAAGAACCAGGGAGTCAATCAATGCAGCTTTTTATCCCTTATCTGGCAGTCTTTTTCTTCTTGATTCATAAAGGTGGAGATAAGATCAGGGTAAAGCGGGGGGTGCGGCACCGCAGGTGGGGGTCGTAAGGGGGGGGGGGGGTAGGTAGGGGGGGGTCGTATCGACCCAAGGTCAAAAGCGGTTTCCAAGGGGAAATGACTGCAGCTAAGTTCTTAGATGTGCCACGCTGTTGAAATCCTGCAAAATTCAAGTTCAACGACACAAACTTGCAGATACCGCATGCCTACCGTAACCTACCGTACCTCTAATCAAGCATAATTGTCGTAATCCGCGTGTCGAGTAACCCCTATGCGCCAAGTTTCAGCGAACTCTGAGGTCTCCGAGCAGTAGACAACCTTGTATAAAGCAGTAATTTAAAACATGATTAACTTCATCTTAACGGTGAGTAAGCTACCTCTTCTTGCACTCAATACAAAGCACTACTCCTTCTTTGTCCACCTCAGGAATCCCGCTTCAGAAGACCTCCAAACTATTGAATTAGAAGCCAACCAAAATCGCTTTTAGCTTTTGATCGCTGTGCTTTCACCAAATATTACTCAGAGCTAAGAAGACGAATCAGGCTCAAAACATCCCTATGGAATCTATGAGGTTTAGGCTACTGATTCATATAAATATTGTCCGCCAAAAATGTTTTTTTGATATAGTTAATGGCCTGCGGCACCCCCCTCAAAACCTGCGGCAGCCGCAGGTTTTGAGGGGGGGGGGGTGCCGCAGGCCATTAACTCACCTTCAAATCGTTCAAACAGCTGCCTTTTTCATATCATCCTATAGATTCATCCTTCCTCTCTCCGTAGTAGCTGTTTCCCCTCGAACCTTTTTCTTTAGAAGGAAATACATATGGTTTTTGCGAAACATATGCTGGGAAGTGTGGCCAAAAAATATTGGGTTACGGTAGCGCTCGAAAGATTGTCAAAACACACAGAGGCGCGAGATACGCGCCTTTGAATCCCACTCTCGTTATGAGCTGTGATGTTCTCGCCTTTTTGTTCTTTTTCATCACTTGTTTCTCTCATTGTTCTTTCAGAAAACTTCAGCCCTATTTGTTATGCATGAATCATGTTTTTGTTTTTGATGTTCTTCACGATTTCGGTTTTGATTTACATCGTATTCTTGGATTTTCTCCTTGTTTTTCGGTGGATTTGTCAAACAAACGATCAGACTTCTGATGTCTGATTGATTTGATGATTTGATATGATCAAACGTGCTCTTCTGATGTCTCCTTTTCTTTTTTGTGCCTACTTCGCCATAAGTGATTGCTAAACCTTTTTCCATCTGATAGTTAATATTCGCCCCCAAGTTGGTTGTTTGTTGCCAAGCCGTTACTTAATGAAAATCATTGAATCAGCACTGTTTCTTTTATTGCCTTCGATTTTCCCTTTTTGATGAATGTCAATGTGACCATCGACAAACGATCGTCTCGAAGCTCGTTTGATTTTCTTCGAACAGATGCATCATTTCAGTCCTTGGCTTGAGCGTTCCCAAGATGCCGCCACGCAAGGGAAAGAGAAGCAAGAAAACCACTGCTCTCATTGATGTGAAAAGCGGGTAAGACTTTCCATAATTTTTAATCTTGGGTGGAGGAAGGGGGGGGGGGCGGAGGTGCTGATCCTAGCATGATGTATCTGCTGGCAGTGTTATGAAGATTTCCTGCCAAAATCATGCAAACTTCAGGCCAGAACAATGGGATCTATCCCATCCCAAAAAGCTGTATGAACCTTGTGCGTGAACTTAAAGCGATGGTGAATGGTTTCCAATCGAACGTATTTTGGATACCATATATATCGTGGGAACGAATAGAATGTGGCAACGTCTGGTGAGTTGTTTGCTTGTGTGCACATTGACATTGTATACTTTTTAAATTTGCTCATGATAGGTAATTTGCTCATGGTAGGTGCAGTGGAAGCCAAGTTGGTCGAGGCAGGTTACTCCATCAGCTGGCGAGATTTCCACGCAAAGGCAACTGTTCTAGGCTGTATTGTCAAGGTAATATAGCCATTTCTGTCGTTTGAAATGATCACTTTTATTGTTTAACACGATATTTCTGAGCTTTTCTTCTCATTTACTGTACCTATAGTTGAAAATTTCCTCTCAAAAATTTTCTTGTAGGATGAAACCTCAAGGTCAAGAACCCGTCAAATTGAGTGGAATCGAAGGGAGTTCATGTGCTCGGATTCTGCAGTACGTATCACTGATCCGGATGGGACGTCTACTTCGAGGTCACTTTTTCATCTCTATGTTTTCTTTGCTACTAATTCTTACAAGAGTTTCTCCTGTTTGAACGTTGTTAGTTTTGTACGATCACTACGATTTTGATCACTGCCGTGTACGCATATAACAGCTTTGATGCCAGCGGGCTCACTCAACTTTTCTCATGATCTAGCTAGATAGAACATCATTTTGTCAAGTATGTCATTTTACAAATTGGCGGAGCCATGTCATTAAAGGCACCGTCCACCCAAAATGAAGGTTGGCGAGATTATGATGGCATACTACTGTGGGCCCTCATACTAGACAAACTTCCAAGCTTCGCCGCAAAAGACTGCTTCTGAAGCGAGAAATCCGCTCCGGAAGTAACAAAGTGGGCGGGGCGCACCCGGCGGTCCACCCAACTCGAATTCAATGTTTTTGTCGCCTTCAGGCCTTCTGAAAGCCCTGATTCCGAATATGGAGTCGAAAATTCGCGAAACCCCCAAAAATCCCTGTTTCGAGAACCCTCTGCAACAAGCCAGGCGAGATAAAGCATGCAAGTGGGCGGGGCAACCGGGGGTCGCCCCGCCCACTTTGCTACTTTCGGAGCGGATTTCTCGCTCCAGAAGCAGTCTTTTGCGGCGAAAATTGGGGGTTTGTCTAGTATGGGGGCCCACACTAGTATGCCATCATAATCTCGCCAACCTCCATTTTGGGTGGACGGTGCCTCTAAGTTAGTGGACATGAAACAATTTACCATTTGGTTGCTTTCGACAACTGATAGCGTTGAAATTCCAATGCTTAGCATTCGTCTCTAGTCTCTATCTTCTACCATATATCTATTTATTCAAGTCAAGAACTTTGTCGCAAATGCTCTCCTTTATTGTATCTGCATTCCGTAGTGTTAACAGTGGATCTGTTGGCCCGAGATTTGCTCGTTTCTAAAGAGCGAGGCCCGAGATTTGCTCGTTTCTAAAGAGCGAGGCCCGAGATTTGCTCGTTTCTAAGAGCGAGGTAAAAAAATAAACAAATCGATGGCCTTGTTGCCGTAGTTTTTACCAAAATTTTTCCAAATAAGCGCCCTGGCCCGCTTTTGTTGATTTGCTATCAGTTTAGTTATTCTAAGCGAAGTAAAGGGCTAGTTTGCTCAGATTTGGACTCGTCCGGCCATAGGCAGCTCTTGCACGACCACGCTTTCAAGTATCTAATGACATCAGAGCAATTATAGATTTCTGGCATACATCCCGTTGAAAAGCGACAAGGTGGTCTGACTAGTCATGTTCGATCTAATGGTGCTTTACTTCCTACAACAAAGAGGTCTAATGCCTTGCCTTCACGAAGTAAGTATTTTTTTAACACACGATTAAAGTTTGTAGATAAAACCCTTGCTTTTCCACTACGCTTTCAGATGAGACCAGATGGTTCACGAGAAGAAAATCCACCGTGATAGATGAATTTTTGATAGAAGAGATCTTTACGAAAATGACATAGCAAAAGTTGTAAGTAGGACACCATTTTCTATGTTATCATTCATATCAAGTTTATAGACTGAGAGCTTTGAAGCATTGGAGGAACCTTGGAATCTTGCCTTATTGTTCGTGGAGTTTTTGCGCTTCTTTGCCTCTCGCGATCATCTGAATGAAGTACAAGTTGTACAAGTGGTTACGAAAAATGTCATGACGAGGGACAAAACTCGTTGAAGCAGAAAGTTATTGCAGATTGCAGGTACCTTCATCTCCATATTTTGGTCATTTCAGTTTATCGATGTTGTTTTCCAGATCCATTCAGAACCGAAAATGTGGTTACGTTTACTAGAGCCCATCAAGCATACTTTTTCAACTGTTTCCTTAAGTCATACTTACACTTTGCTGTTCCACATTTATTGCTATTTTTATAATAAAAATGAAAGAGAAAATTTTGTATGTGTGAAGCTATGTGATGCTCAAGAGCTCTCAAAGTTGGGAGTTCGGGTGGGAAGGGGGGGGGGTAGGGAATGGGGAGGGGGGTCGTGCCGAGGTCCGGCCTAAGGGGGGGGGGGGGTCGTATCCGACGGTCGTGTGCCGCACCCCCCGCTTTACCCTGGATAAGATTATTATTGTTGTTGAACAGGTCCCAAGCTGCAGATGCAAAAATCAAAACTCAAAAATTCGGAGGGGTATAGCGCTCATTTGTCTTATAAAATTAGTGGCCAACAACGGTCTATAACTTGGAAATCGACAAATCCCACTTTTAGACCATAGAGAGGTAAACAGGCACCGCAAAATGTTTGCGCTGACCCTTTGCAATCCGCTCGCAACTTCTAAAAACTGCCCACAAGTTTCCGCGAGGCCGTTTTCTGACCCCTTCCCTCGCTTCGACTTTCATGGTACATTTTAATGAAAAAAAGATGGATTTAAGGTTAATGGATCGAACTACCACTGCAGTGACAGGCATAAGCTTAATCGAAAATCGCTTTAAATGCGAACAAAGAGCAGGGAAAATGACTACTGACTTGGCAAAGAACGAATGAAAACCATGTCACAAGCCTGGCTTTCGCAAGGAGAGCACCCCGTGAACAAGCTAAAATACGATCGACAGTATTTAGACAGGTTTGCGAGGTTCGAAATGCATGAATTCGTTTAAATAGAAGGATTTAGAGGCATTTGTTGAGGAAGAGACCTCATATGTAAGAAATAACACACTCTGAAATTGACTTTATTCACAAATGAATTGCTTCCTGTCTTCCTCAGACAGTTCACCGGGACTTCTGCAGGACAAGCAAAGTTTGCAGCGATTCCGCAGGATTTTGCTTATTATTGCAATGATGGAAACGTTGAAGATAGGAACTTCCGCAAGATTCTCACGTTAGACTGGTCGAAAACGGGAACTTTCAAAGGACTTTCTACAAAGCGCTGCGGAATTCCGAAAAATACCAGCGGCTCCGCAGCACTTTGACATGCCAGTACTTCCGCGGGGTTTTGAATGTGTTGTCTTGTATGATGTTGCCTCGCCAACAACTAGAGTGTATTGTCGAGTATGTCAGCCATAGTGCAGAGGATAGTAGGTGAGTCTCACAGTCAGTAGAGTAAGATTCAAATCTCTAGGTGTTCTCTTTTGCTATTGCGGTTCGCATTCTTCGGAACTCCCGCAGCACGTTTACGAAATTCCACAGGTGACCCTTATTTTCCGAAACGTTCTGTGGAAGCTCCGGCCAGTTGTTTATATCAATTGATATAGCATTCGTCTTCTTCGACCATTCTCAGAATTGTATTCAAGCAAATAATCTGTCTTTTGCCTAATCTACAACGATTTGAAACAAAATCTTAACCATGTATACCACATATGCCATACCATGCCATGATAAAAATCTTTATCACAAAATGAAGAGCAACAAGTAGATGAAAGTCCATGAGACATATCTGTAGAGATCCATTGTGTATCCAGAAGCGGAACGGCAATATGGGTAATGCCGTTCGTTTCTCCTTTTTGCGATGTCCTGAGATGCTTGCGCTTTATCTAAATTCTCTCAGTGTGATTTGACAAGCAAATACATCAAAATCAATGTCTTCTGCTCACTAAAATTGCATATGATATAGAGGGGGTCCAAAAATGTATCGAACGAATGGCTAAAAAATTCTTTGTCTTAAAGGCAGCGTCCGGGCAAAATTTCGCCTCTCATGTTTCTGCCATTCTGAGGCCTTTCCTTGGCCCTGATTACAGTTGTAAAGTCGAAATTGTTCAAAACTCCCATGAAACCCGGTTCTTGGGGACCCTCTCTTCAAGGAGCGGACGAATGCAACCGCACACCTGCGTTAGCACTCGTTCTCAGGGGTAGTTTGTGATACGAAGGGGAGGCTTGTGATACGTATCACAGGCCCGTATCTTCTTTCAGAGGCACGTCAAAGGATTGGACAAACGCAGATCGGATATTCATGGACCCCTCTTTACAACTATGTGCTAATCTGAGTGGATGGATCTTGCCTGGACGCTGCCTTTAAGCTTTCGAGAATTCAAGTGCCGTCTTGAGGGGCTGGCTTGGTCATTTTAAAGGAGGCAGAACCCCTATGCTTATCACTGTAATACGGTAAAAAATTCTAGCATAATTAGGTTTCTGCCATTTGGCTGCCATCTCGAAAAAAAAATGTATAAATCAATTGAAGTTTGTCTAGTAAAGTTTTGGATCCAATGATTCCAACACATGGAGGAAAGACAGTTTGCTGGTACGAACACATTATTGATAACTATCGGAAATGAAGTTTCTGCAATGTTAACTTGCATATGAACTAAAAATTATGACAGATTGCCGTGCTGTGAACAAAATAAGCGACCCTATTTAGTCAGCAAAGTTTTAAGTTCCTTGAGACATTTCGGCGCAGAACGTTTGTTATAGTCTTACAGTAATCTACAGCAAAAAAGACAAATGTTTTGCCGCACATTGTAAATCTAAGCTGAAGTTATCAATTAGCGAAAACTGTACAAACAAAAGAGTCACTAAAGATCAAACGTTCGATACAATTTTTTGAGACACTCTATATTTGCATAGGTTCAAATTCGCCAATTCATTCGAGATTCATTTGGAAACCGAAACACTTACTACCTGTTAAAAAGGGGAATGTGAATGCCTTTTTTGCAAATGACATAGTCTGCGTGAACACACTGCTTACAACCTTGATCCCGTTTTCACGTCTTTCTGAAAAAAATATCAATGCTGTTGACTGATATGAACTCGATGCTTGGAGCTTCGAGCGTCCGCCACTAAGAACTAAGCAGATTCCTCTGTTTACTTATATTAAGATATATATTGCGGAAGGATGCTTCAAAATGCCGGAGTACTCTCGATAAAATACTGAAAATCATATTTATTGAGCTGATGGCTAATGTACATCACTTTGCAGTGAACAGAGCACAAAGATGGGTAAAAGATTTATAGCAGAATAAAGAAAAAGAAATACATTTTTGCGCATTTCCAAACAGATCACCGCTCTTCTTGACCCTGCCACCGCTTTACAGAAAGGAGATGAGTCGAGAGTAGTCACACACGAGAAACAGAAGGAAAATGTTCGGTAATGGAGAAACTTCCTTGGTCCAACTCCGCACTCTACTACAAACTCAGTGCGACCAGAGAACCTAGTCCCAGAAGTGAAACATGGACGAAAATCAAGAAAAAGCTTTTCATGGGTTATTTTTCCGTTAAAGTCAATTACAAATTTCGTTTTGAACCAAAAAATGTCACCATTCCTTCTTATAACTCACAATATTGCGGCTATTATAATTGAGCAATGAAATAACCCTCAGAATTACGCATGAACATCTTCCTCCTGTGTATATTTGTTGAAAGACTTTGAAATTTTATCTGTTGCCGGCTCAAAATCCCAAATCAGCGCTACTCGAGTTTGTACAAAGATGAGTATCTTTGGTTTACTTACATTGACAGTTCAGCTCACCAAAAAAGTTAAGAGCAGCTCAGTTTTGAGTTGCAAGTCTATGAGACCGCATACGGTATTTTGGTACGAGCAGAGATTCCCACAATAACTCGACCTCGTTCCTTTATGTCGTACTATGAAAGTAAAGAAGAACACTTTAGGCTCCTTAGTGCAAGCCATTTATTTAGGTCTGGAATAATAAGAGTTTCCACAACTATTGCGTCCTACATTTGATATCACACCTATCAGTTGACTCTTCAAACTTTATTTCAGCGCGTTTCTGGCAAAATTTAACCCACATTCAGCAGCATCCATACTCGCTGCTGTTATGTCCAATTTGTCCCTATGATCAAGATCGTTCCCTCAACCTTCGTGTACGCAAGAACGGAGATTTTTCTAAGCTAAAAAACCTTTGAGGCTTCCCTACCTTTGAAGCTGAGTATTTCATCCATGCAGAAAGCATATCGCTCAAGTCTATAGTAAAATCTGTAAAGAGACAATGAGCACCTACCTGAGGTTATTGTGTTCATAACACATGTTAGATGCCTCGCTGCAGGACAAATCAGATGCTTTTTTCTCGCTTAACATGGTATACTTGAAAGCAGAGGTGAGTGTGTCCAATGAATTCTTGCATGCTTAGCCGCATCCCTATGGATTCAGTGCTTTATCAAGAGTTTAAATACACTACCCAGCGTAACTCCAGGAATCGAAACTTTAGTGGTTTTTCGTTGCAAATGTGCACTCAGCAGTATTCCACGTATTGTATTATTTTCACTTCAACCTTTTTTTTCGAAAACCTGTGCTTTGCACCAAAGCCTGAACGCCACAACAGCAAGTGGTGAATGTTAAGGCAGAGCTCACAATCAGTCCCTGCACAATTACAGAGGTATAGTTATTGAAGTTGTGCCCAACTTCAATAAAATCCCGGTTTTTAGATTTCATTATTATTGCTTGGGTTACTATTTGTTGAAGCAAGCTTTACAAGATGGCATACGTTCACAGTGTGATCAGAGTAAATTTTCAGTTACCCGGAAAATCGGGCATTCTTCAAAAGTTGTTTACTTATTATCAGCTGACACATAACTCTACAGTGAGCGATTTGAAGATACTTGCAATAATCATTCCATGGCTAAAAAGTGTATATATAAACTAGCATACTTTCCGGAGAAATCCACCGTCATCGATGCATATGTGCATCTCCACATAGCACACCAAAAGCCTAGTTGTGTATTCTCGAATCACAGAATGAAAATTACAACCAAAACCCGAAAAACACGACATTCTTGGATTTTGACTCATTTTTGCTGTTTCCACCCCCAAAAAAACATCAAATTTCTTCCCACAAAAAAGAAATTTGTGTATGACTGTCAAACGGGACATTTATGAGTAAGTCATGAACTGTAAAAACAAAAATTTGAACTTTGTCTCAGTAGGACACGAGATTTTTCAAGCTTCACGCAAACTTTTTCAAACGAGTTTTTAAACGAAGTTTTGGACACTAAGCAAAAATTCGGCCATCTTGCACCGCAAGTCTTACAGTAATTGTGAAAATGTAAGATTTTGTGTAGCCAGGAAGAATTGCAACAACCTATCATTCCTATAGATTGCTCACAGATCTGTGCTCGACAAATTTTTCAGATCAATGGAGCAGCGTTCAGTTCACTGAACTGTTTTTCCCACTTGAATACTAGGCCAAACTCATGACGCTTCATTTTTTACTACTCAAATCAGCGGTGAAATCGCATGTTTTATCAGATGTGGACACTCCCCACTTTAAACAGTTTTATCAAGTAAGAGATATAAGTCAGCAAAACGAAGGACGCATGGAATGTAATTATCACAGTAAAAATCATCACAGATATCCTGAGGAGTAGTGGAGTAATATAAAACTTTATTTGAACTTCTTTATTTGCTTGAGCTTTGTGCTGTTGATTTACCCGCGGATAAGACCAGATGTTTACCTGAACAATTTCTTGCATATTTCAATGTGAAGCTCTTTAGAGATATTGAAAAACTATTGAAGGCTTTTAATAAAAGAATGAAGGCGATATAGCTGAAATAGTCCCATCTCAATTATTTTTCACTTATATTCCTTACAATTCAAGTGCTTTTGGCACCATATACATATATAAATTCTGGGCTCACAAGCTTTGATCAAAAAAAGAAATAAAGGTTTTTGATCACTTATGAGACGCATGTATGCTTCATCAATCAAGGCTAAGCTTTTCATTCTGTTTTAATCTAATATACATGGTGTCCCAAAAAAGATGTGCACACTGTTTGATCGTTAATAACTCTCCTGTTTTCATGTCTTTTGCCGAGCTTGAGGCGCCTTCCCGTAGACCTAGATTCAACTTAGATTTGCAGTGTAGAGCGAATGGTCAATTGCTCTTCATTACTGTAAGACTACGGTAGAAACTTTGAGGATGATTGTAAGCCATTAAAAGCGGTTTTTTGCCAGTTTTTGCCTCAGAAAGAACAAACAAACCAAAAATCCTATTACTGGACTAGTCGAAGTGGTTGACTCTATATATGAAATTTGCACTGCAGTATAGTGCTTCTTTCATTAGTTATTTCAGATTTAGGGTAACAACTGTTTTTCCAATGTTTGTCAGAAATATAAATACGCCATCAAAGCTCGAAAAACTCATGAAAACTCATTTAGTGAATTCAGCACGCTTGAAAACCTTGCCACACAAATTTTCAGATTTTTTGAAATTATTTCGTCAAAAAACCTATTCCACAGCAGTGATGCTGTTTGCTGAAAGTTCCTACCGTAATCCTACAGCAATGAAGAGGGATTAGTGATTCGCTCCATACTGTAAATCTAAGTTGGACCTCGCTCTACAGAATGGTATTTCAAGCTTGGCAAAAGACATGAAAGAAAGGGAGTAATTAACGATCAAACAATGTGCACATCTTTTTGGGACACTCTGTACAAAGAAACGTAAACACAATTTAAAAATCTGCAAATAGCGGGAAACCGCGGTGCGGTCCCGAAGCGCGGATGCAATCTAGCGCCTTTAATTACTGGTTCACTAGTTTTAGTCCTCATTGGTTCGAAGTAAAGTGAAAAGAAACAAAGATACATCTTTCACCTGAACTTCCTATTTCGTTTTCCAGAATTCTATCGACTAGTTCTCCATCTTTCTCGCACGACCAGTCCCAGTATTTTTTGAAATCTAAATTTATTTTTCACTTTTTAGCGTTCGCATTCAGCTAATTTGTAGGTATTCTAGTCGGCTGTTTCTCAAGGAAAATTTCAGCAAAAGATAAAAAACTCTAGCTTTTTGGAAACATTGGGATACTTAGTGAGACAAACTTAGATTAATCTAGCAATGTTGTAACTCAAATCAACCCCCAGACCTTCTGTCCTCTAACAAGGGAACGATACTTAGTGTCCGTGGCCTTTTGAGATGAAATGTATAATAATACACTCGTCTTCGAACGCTGATTCCGAATCTGGTTTCCGTTTCAAGGATTTTCGCGTCAAATTTGGCCGCGCGAGGCACATACGATAGGAACACCAACATGGTAACATGTTAACATGCATTCATTTTTCGATCGTTTTTATTTTTATAGGCACCTCTTGGTATAAATATAGGAAATACACGTACGCTACATATTTGTGTTCCTATCTATCTCTGGAGGGCAAATTCGGCGCGAAAATCCTTCATAACTTCTTCCAAAGAAACGTTCAGCAGAAACGGAAGTCAGATTCGAAATTAGCGTTTGAAGACAAGTGTAATGGTATGCATTTTATTTCGAAAGGCCCCGGACATTAAGTATCGTTCCCTTGTAAGATGGGAATTTTTTTTCTACTTCATTACTCAAACCCATGAATAACATCTCTCGAAATTTGGGATAGCTTCCAAAACTTCACTTTGTTTTAGATGTTTTCGCTTTCAAATTACTTCAGAAGCGATTGAAAGGCGGATGAACTCCGAATCTAACACTCTACAACAGTAATCATCAAGCAACTTGTATGCTGCAAGATTTGGATTTATCTACACTTTCTTATGTGAATCTACTAGAGTGTGGAATGCAAATATAAGCCTTACTTGGTATTGAATAATGTGGCCGAGGATTCTCCCATATTAATCGGCAGATCTGAATTTCACTTGCACGTTATGTGGAAAGGAGTTTTTAGCGTACCTGACAGAAACCCCATGGTCGTTCCAGCGAGTCATGGGCATTGCCGTCAAGAAATACTACTTTATAATCCCGCCGCCAATTGAAATATTCTCTAAAATTCCACTTGAAAAATTCTTTACTTATGAATACTAAAAATCGACAAACATATGGTCTTCATTATATTTGCAGCCAAGGAATATAAGTTGCACTCTTCTAAGTATTTGCGGATAAGAGCTTGAAGTATCCATGAAAAGAGTAAAGAACTCACGTATAGGCACTTTTGTTTTGCATAAGATAACGTAAATAATTAGCAAGATCTTTTGTTGTGTTAAAATCGTCGGCAGCAATAAATGAATGCGGAGGCACAATTTTCTCGACCAGCGATCTCTACAAAAGCACTAATGAGTATTTTCTGTAACGGTTAGAGGAGTCCTACCTTGAGCACTATAGGAACAACATCACGTCGATAACCCTGATTCCATAGTTTTTCAGTGACATAGTCTTTGCAGATTGAATTCTCAAAAGCGATATAGAAGTGATACCTAAGAAGAGCCTACGAAGTAAGTTTTTCCATTATTGCTGAACTTACTCATCGTCTAAAGCATTTTCACATTTTCCTCCTCTTGCGCACTTTAGCTGACTACAGCCGCCATAGATATCAACAGGAAAATGTTTCTGCAAAATAAAGAACGTAAGAAGTAAATGAAAGGTGAGGTCAAAGAGAGGGTTTGGAAGAGGGTTTGTCTGTAACTTCATTCAAAATGGTCAAAGTTGCACATCTATAACAAAACAAGCTTCAGTCTCTATATACACTTTGATGGATTTTCCGCTCGATATAGTGTGCTTACGGAGATTGCACGGTAAAATCCCGCACTAACAAATAGACAAGTCTTAATACCGGCTACTTGCGCGCAGGACGCCGGCATACTGTCTGCCTATTTATTTACAAGCAAGCTCTGCCGCAAAATCTCGGCACAGCAAGCATAATTACTTAACAATAAAGCACTAAGCGTCTGTCTGTTTGTCTGTCTGTGTGTGTATATCTATCTGTCACGGAATTCATAGAGCGTGTTGTAGTCAAGGACTTGAGCTGAAATTCTGGTCATGGCACCCTACCAGCATGTAGATAAATATTGCAAAAGCACACGCCAGTCCGATAATTGGAACCTTCAGAAACTGGGCGTCAAACGGGTCCACGCGACTTTTGACCGACCAATGTGGGAGATGATTTTACTTTTTGCGAAGTTGTGGATTTGCTTAACAAGTAAATGTGCAGACCGTAGGCTTAAGTCCAGAAAGTGAGCAAAATATCTATTTTTACGCAAAATCAGCGCCAAAAAGGAGTGTTTGCGTAGATCATCAATTTGTCAAGGTTTCATCTAATTTTTTTGCGCAGATTTCTGCTCAGAAATTTAGGGGACAAAAGTAACTATCTTTTGTAAAAACTAATCGGCAATAATAACTTCAGTAACTGGCCGACATTCTCTTTTGATCTTCTACGCAAAAACTTTCTCTTCCCAATTTACCGCTCCTACATGGAAAAGCTCATAAAATGAGTAGTTGTTTACAATTCGTTCATGATGGTCAGCATCGCATAGTGAGTTTCAGAGTGACATCATACGAGCAAGAGGAATGCTTATAGATAGAGGAGCCAGGCGAGCCTCTGCGAAGCAGAGGTGAAGCACTGGTAATATATAAAGCGAAAAATTTACTAGAATGTAGAACTTAGTGTGAATTTGTATGAATATACTACTGATAGGCTTCTTTGCGCGCCAACGGATAGGGGTAAAATTTACGTAGACACGCGGATGTTATAGCGTACTTTTCGTGGTGATTCGCTGGATCCTTCTACCGAATTATTGATTTACTGACTCAAATCGTCGCAAAAGGAGAGCTATACAAACATTATCAAAGCATCTGTCCCATGATGATGTAAAAAGGGCGGTAAAGCTTTTTTACTGGTGTCAATGGGAAGTATCATCCGAGGCAATGCGATATGTAGGGTAAGTCTTTGTTGTTACAAGAAGTATTGGGTGTTGATAGCAGTGGCGTACCGAGGGGGGAGGGGTGCGCCCCCCCCCCCCAAGAATGGGTCGCGAAATTTTTGAAAGTTACTTAAATGTGCTATAAAAATATGCAAAGGACTTGTCTTTACTTGTAAATAATTAAAATAATTTTCAAAATTTTTTAAAAATTCAATTTAGCTTTATAAAAAATTTTTTTTCGGGAACGTGGCTGACGCCACGCCCCCTTTTTCTAAAATTGTGGGGTCGGGGACCCGCAAAAGTTTTGAGAAGCACCCCAAAAACTTTTTCGGAGTGCGTGGCTAACGCCACGCACCTTCTTTAGAAAAAATTTTTTGTCGCCCCCCCCCCCCCCGAGCCGAAATCCTGGGTACGCCACTGGTTGACAGGGAAGGGGAGGGGGTGCAATAAATGAAGAGGACCGCGTGAGAATAAGAACAAGTAAAAGTGGGAAGTTTGCTTTCACATAGGACCGGCTTAAATCTTTGCCAGAGTACTACAGCAGATGGTACGGACGGGTGGATGGCGGGTTAGTAAGGGAGTTCATGACATTTTACCATCGTAAAACTATCTGTGCATTAGATCAACGGCTACATTACTGCTCTAGGATTGCAGGCATACATAGCTGCTCAAAATGCCCCCATTCGGAAGCAAACAGATTGTCGAAACAGCTAACACCAGTGGCGTACCGAGGGGGGGGAAGGCGCCTCCCCCCCCCCCCCCGAGAATGGGTCGCCGAAACTTTTGAAAGTTACTTATAAGGGTTATAAAAATGTGCAAATGACTGGTTTATACTTGTAAATAATTAAAATAATTTTTAAAAGTTTTTAAAAATTCGAATTAGCCTTGTAAAAAAATTTTTTTCGCCGCAAAAATTTTGAGAAGCACCCCTAAAAATTTTTCGGAGTGCGTGGCTAACGCCACGCACCTTCATTCGAAAAAAATTTTTTATCGCCCCCCCCCCCCCGGAGCGGAAATCCTGGGTACGCCACTGGCTAACACTACGTCCTACCTGCAACTGCTCGACGTACTTCTCTCGCTTGCTGTTCGTATAGCAGTGTGAAACAAACCAAGCGGCTCCTTTGCTTTTTTTGTTGACCCGCGTCATGTCGACTACCTCAATGGAATTTCTTAGACTGTGTCCGAAGCTTCTGCTGCTGTGCCGGCAGTTTCAGCGGAGTGCCAGCACCGCACACGTTCGACTCAAAGACCGAGAGAATACTCTAAATAGAGACTTACTTCTTTGCTAAGCCGAGATCGTGCTGATAACTTGACTGTGTAACCGTAAGGCGATGATGTTGGTGAATCGTGTCGGAATCCCAGCGACATGTTATAAAAGCTATCATAAGGAATATTGGCTCTGCTATTTTTTGGCGATTCCTACAATTCTTCAATATTAAATACGCAGCAGAATGATAGCTGGATATTGGAATTACCTGACTAAAATATATGAAGTACTGGTTGGATGTGCGATTAATATCGACTCCTTCATAAAATAGAACCTAGAATTACTGTAAAAAGTGTCTTTGTCTTTCAAACCGAATTTTGAGTATGCCGCATCAATTAGCATGCCTATCGCATTACTGTGCCAGAAGACTAAAATTTTGACAATTTTGGGAGGCTGAGAAACTAGGATATTTGGGAGGCTCATACAAATATTGGAGGCCTGGTTTCAAGGTACTAGCAAAATGCCACATGCTAGGACTTTGTGCAGCCCCACCCTTGCTGAATAATTTTCAACTCTCATTCAAAATCATACCGCATCAGCTTCCTTGAGCTTCTTCATGTCATGAGTCAATTCGCAGTTCCAATCTGGACATCCGCCCAAATTCTCTTGTGTGGCTCCAACATTCCATGAAAGAATCAACTTTGGTGGTGCTAAATCCATAAGTCTGCTGTTCTATAATTTGATATGAGCCGCTTCTGATTTACCTTTTGCGTCGGCGTTGCATTTCATCCGTTTCTTAAGATTGATAGGACAACTCGTAAGCACCTCGGTAGCGAAGAATGCCGACCGATTGTGTTGAGAGGGGTTGAACTCATAATCTGGAAGAAAAAATGGGATGCACGTATGGTAAGCTTTTTGTTGCTACCTTCTTCTACGGTCTTATTCCTGACGTCGTTGCTACCATACGGAAGCCAAGGTGGCAAAGCTCTTTCCTTGAACAGAAAAATGTAGAATTTTCGAGAAATCAATTCTATGTTTCTGCATCAAACATTTTTGAGGAACTTCAAAATATAAACATATAACCTTTTTGAATTACAACCCTAATCGTTTTACGATGCGAAAAGGAGTCAGATGGTCGAGTTCGGTTTGAATAAATCAAACTGGGGAAACCGGTAATGGAATAAATCCTTCCCATTTTCCGCTGTTGTAGTTTGCTTAGAATGATAGCCTTTACGATCAACTAGTGAATTCAAGTGATTTTTTTGAGTAATTTTGTAGAGCAAACTTCCCTGCTGATGGTATCATATTTTTGTTAGAGAAGAAATTCATTATCTCCTCTTATCCGGTGCATCATATATATACAACAAACATGAAGATAAACTATTTTCGAGGAAGCAGAAAAATAATGTGAGAAACGAAAAGGTGTTCTTCGACAAAAAGACCTTGGTACGAACTTTTGCTATATAAACAATGCCGGCTTAAAGCATTGTTTGGCTCGTCACGCTTTCTGGAGAAAGTTTTTTCGGTCATTTTCAGTGTCTCTCCCAAATATTTTGTAGTACTTAAGCTTTGCCTGAGTAGCTCTAGTGTTTAGATACAAGCTCTGGCCAATCATTCTAGCTCCCTCGAAAAATCAGCGTAAAGAATTCCCAGTCTACTGAACGCAAAACAGCTACACGTATGATAAAAGTGCTTTTTATGCTTCTTTGTAGGCTCTCTTTTGACAAAGGGTTTATTTTATTTTATGCACCATACAGTTATATCGGTGGAAGTGGAATCCGCCAAAATTGCGGGATTTGCGGGATTTAATTATAGATTTTTATAAAAACAGCTTCATTTGGAATATGCAAGAAGATTTGGTTCAGCTTAATGAGACTAATCTTTTAGTATACATTATGCCCATTTTCCATGGTGCATTGTATTGTATTGGCATGTGTTATGAGATTAGCAACATGTATATTTGCTTATATGAACAATTCTCAAAAATAACAAAGTAGTATCGTATTTCTACCGTATCACACCATGGACTTGGGGCGTAATGTATACTAAAAGATTCGTCTTTTCAAGCTGAAACCAAATCTTCTTGCTACGTACATAATTCCAAAAAAAGTTGTTCCAGAAGAAGTTATATTAACTAAATCCCCCAAATCCCGTAAATCCCGCAGTTCCAGCAGTTTTGGCCGGATTCCACCGCTACAACTGTAGTTACACAAACAGCTCTTTCTCATCCTCATTATAAATCTGGATGAGAAATCTTCAATCATGCTTCCGTCTATGAAGCGGAAGATGCAATCTCCGAAAATGCTAGTGTCTTTTGAAACTTACTTTGCTAAGCCAAATCTGGAAAACTCTAGCTTTTTCCAGAAGAAAACAATCGACATGCAGAGCAAGGATAGCTGTTTTGAAGGTTATCCTGTCATTATCCTCACTTCATTACAAAAGGCGACAAAAATAAAAACAATGTAAAGCAAGCTGATACTTTTTTGCTACTTTTGAATCTGTGCACACTGAAGTGAAAGCAGTGCAGCAAAGCTCTCATAACACTCATAGTAGTAACTTATCAGATCATGTTTTATTTTCAGAACTGAACTCAAGTTTACTATTTTAGAAGCTAAGCACAATTAAAAAACTACGCCATCGAATTCGTTGGACTACAGAACATGAGCAGAGAAAAAGGCAAGGTACGAACTCACCACTCGCGTGAGTCCTTCCGAGTTGTCATGTCTTGATACATACTGTACTAGGCAATAGAAAGACACACAACAGGCAAGCAGCCAAATCCATCTGGCTATGAAAATACTGTACTTTCCCATTCTCCATTGGAACAGGTCAAGCGCTCATAGACCTAAATCACTTCCATTTGAAGTTCTGTTATTTTTTGATGTATAACATATAGTTTAGAGAGCCTGAGTAAACAATGAAAAATTACAGTAAATAAGCAGAACAAAGGGGGCGAGTGGCTTAGTGTATGAGGCGCCGCTATGACCAGGTCGGACACAGGTTCAATCCCCGCCCCTGGACAAACCAAGCCCTCTACCCTCCGGGGCCGGTAAATTGGACGGCTGGCCCCCGCAAGTCACTGTAATAGACCCGCACATTTTAGTTTTATAGAGTGCAAAAATTCTATCATTCTACAGTACAGGGTGCGGCAAAAGTCTGGGAGCCTAATTTTGCATTACTGCAATTACAAAGATACTGATGGTTTTGATTTCAGTTTTATACCACATGATGCTGCGGTCATCCTCTACAGAATACACTTTATTTGGCTGGAAATGACTGCCATATGTTATTGTATGAATGGAAATTACCAAACTAGTACTTTTGCAAAGCGAAAAAACCAGAATTTTTGGTATTTACAATTTTTGCTGTAACTAGAGATGGTGTTAATATTTTACAAAACTTCGATGCATACAACATAGAAGAGGCTTTGCGCTATCGTATCCTAATTTTGCTTTTGCCAGGAGCTATTCTTGCATGAACGGAAAATAAAAGTTCGCGAATGTTACCTAAGTGCCAGTGGAAATCCGTCTTCAGAACAAATTCAAAAGCTATAGAATGCTCAACAAGCACTAGAACCAAGGCTGTATTTTTTGCATACGTCTTCTAAATTAGAATTTATTGAAATTCGGCCATGGGAACACTTTTTATACTTTTTTAACGATATTTTTGAGTTTTTATTCGCGCAATTGTAGCCAAAATTCCGGTATGCGACGTGCATATGCTTCTAATTGAAAATCCAATATTTTTATTCCTAAGCAATGCAAAAAATTCTCCTTAGAGTTTGTTGTAGACAAAAGTCTGCTCTATTATGCTGCGCATTTGCCAACGTAAAAGAAGCAGTTACTGTGAAAGCGTGGGGCGAATTCCATTACGACTACCTGCGTGCCATGACAAGTGGACTTGCTAAGATTTTGTAAGGCTGCGTGGAAGCCAAAAGAGGCTGTTTTGCAATCCAAGAACTGGGCTATATCTGCAATGGTTCGAATTATGTGTGCGCCAAATTTTTCGTTTCTAGGTACTTCCCTTCTCGTTTTGTACGAAAAAGTACTAGGCTCCCAGACTTTTGCCGCACCCTGTACTCATTATAATTACTGTGTAGCTGTGCTTGATGGAGGAAAAGAGCTTCAAAAAATGGTCTCTGGAAATTCATGGCAACAAATTTGCAATGCTTACTGTAATTCATTCTTGTGATGTGCCCAAACATTCTAAACTTGAGGACACTAAATACGCATCGATTTTCAAGTAAAGCTACTTAAGGTTATCTCATAATTTTATAGCGTTTATTTTTCTCCGATAAGTCCATGGATTCATCCATGCTCTCAGGATTTTTAAAAGACATGGTATTTCTTTATTTTTGCGGACGATTGGATGTCTTTATTTTTTGGCTTTCAACATTATGTGGAACAATTTCATTGTATTTATTTGATACACTCCCTTCGCAGAGCTTGTTTTGGTCAAAAAAGGAGAAAATTTGAGTTTTAAGACTGTTCTTCTTTTCGGTATCTTGAACCCTAGGAGGCAAAAGTGTAACTTATCGCGAGAAAAAAAAGGTAAAGAACGAGACAACTTTATGCAGAGGAAAATGTGAAAAATGAGACCGAGGCAACAAACAAAATTATTAAGTGAGAGGAAAAACAGCTACATATCAAGGTCGATTACATAAGGAATGAGGTGAAAGTATAGAGCAGAAGAAATATGCAAATAATATGCTTTCTTCCGGGTTTTACGTGATATAACCAAAACAAAGTGAAAGAGTAACCAAAGGCACATTTGTACCAATATGCTCCTAACGACTCATGGTTACTATGGAAAATCTTCATAGTTGGCATTTTCTCGGCGGCTGAATGATACGCAGGGGCAATTTTTCGCTTTTAGTGGACACGTACGGAGGACAACAAAGCATTTTCATTCGTTATGAAATGCGCAGCTCTGACTATTGCTAGTCTGCGAAGGCCAAAACGAAGCTTTTGCAACTGATCAATTAGCTTTCGATTTGTTCAGCTTGTCCGTTTCCACTTCGCTTTGTAGTTTGCTCAGAATATCAGAAACACGCAAAACTATGCATAGAAGAGAATGGCTATTGTTATTATGAAGGATGGATCGGCATGCAGATGATTAGTTATGTATAGAATCTTGCCACTCCACAGTTCTAAACGTCCGCTTTCCTAGGCATTCTACGACAATCCGCCCTTAATACGAAAGTGTTTGTTATATTGCTAAAGAAGAAGTCGAGAAAAGGCATAAAGACGAGGTGTCAAAGCAAAATGATTCATGTGTATTCTTTGTGACGACGGTATCGAAAGCAAGAGTAGTGCAAACATGTATGAAGCTACAAAACTGCAAAACATTCGGAAAAACTTCAAGTATTCGCCTTTTCATCGCACCTCTATGCGCTGTCTTTTTCTTTCAGTAAGGTGGAGAACCTTAGAGATTTCCCAGACTAGTTGAGCGATTTCTAAAAAGACCATGTAAATGAAATTTTGACTAAAATCGACAAAAAGCAGATGGAAGCCACGACGAGGAGTCACGATTGATAAAAGGTGGAATAAGTACAGAAATGAGCTGTTTTTCCCGCTTTGTAGGTGAAGAGGAGTTATAGCTTGGGCTTTTGTACTCATATTGAATTCCTCAACTTGACAGCATATGAATTTAGTCGTGATACTACTATAGAGATGAACAACACGGATTTCTGCGCAGCACTCTGAATCATCAAAAATGTTACACTATAGAAAATTTTCAAACCTGAGGACTCATTTGATAACTCAATTTATGGCATAGTAAGTCGAAAGTGAGGAAGAGAACATAAAGGCATTATTCATGTATTTCCTGATTTTTGCGCGAATGGTCGGAACTCTTTTATAAACGATAGATTGAGAAAGGAAGTTGCTGTTATAGGTAGTATATAATATTCCTCGTGGAAAATTTGCATCCAGCCAGAGTAAGTAAGTTTGTGACAAATCGTTGCGAACATGTACGTTTTTAATTTTGAATATTTCGACCCTGACAGTGGGTGACTCATTAGTTGCTTTCATGAACTGTCAGATGACAACGAAATCAGTCTAATTGATTGAATAGAAAACCATATCGAAACTATTTAATGGCTTTCATAGCCAAATTGGCTACAGCATAAATTTGCCTGACTATTATAGCAGAGGACAGGATACATTCTAGGACTCTTAACTTTTCTATTCTTTTTCACAGCTCTTACAGTAAGCAAGAATGCATCGAATTTAGCTCTTCAAGACGCATTGATTTTTTCTATCCTCTTTCTCAGCGTAATTGAAAAAATGGTAAAAGAAGAACTGATTTGTAGGTAGGTCCTTGAAAAGCGAGTATGCAGGCAAATTCAAAAACATCGTCGATGCAAATTTTGCATTTGTGCATCTCTGTTAAATTCGAGGAAAAATGAGAAATTGCGATTTTTGAAGGTTGATGGATATCTCTTCGCAAAACACCAATCACATTCGCTCACTCAAATGTGTTTTTTTATGTATAAAGATTGCCTTGTCCAACTGCAAAACGTTTTGCAAGCCGAAAATCAAAACAAATGCAACAATTTACGAACTAAAACAACTGCAAAGTATCTCATTCTATTAGGCACCTGGCAAACTTCGCGCGATTTCAGTCGCCACGCGATTTGGCAATTTGCCACAGGCCTTCAAATCAACACTGCACAATCAGTCAGCAAACACATAATGGATATAACTTTCGTAGACCAGAGAGTCCCTACAGTACATTTAGAATGCGCTTACAATGAGTTACGAGCAACTGGAATGTCAACAAATCGCTTGGCGACTGGAATTGCTTGAAGCATGAGCGGACCTTAGACGCAAGAGCAAAACCGGTGTTTGTTTTGCAACAAGTTGAGTCTTAAGCATTTTCAAATCATGAGAGTTTCACAAAGACAACTTTTCCAAACGCCAGACAAGATTGTGAACACATTTAAAAAGTGAATATTCGTGCTAAAATTTCGTTTCAAAGATTGAAAGATAATCTTGAGCTGCTGACTTTAGTGAATGAAAAGGCAATTGAAAATTCTCAGTATTTTCTCATAGCTTTGACAAATAATGTAAGGTTTTAAGAGAAAAGAAAAATTGAAAATAAGGAAGAGCTCCAAGTTGGAAAATCTCCCCACTTCCCCAACCAAAAGTAGAAAAACACATAAACAATGAACAACGTAGGCGTTGTCTACGTAGATAACATAATTCTTGTTCCTTTAAAAAACCCAATCATGTCTAAAAAGTCTACAATAGAGGGTTACGAATGTGCAGAGGAAGCCAATCTTCATGAATAATGCATTGTATGTTTTGCAGAGCACAGGGAGAGAGGTCAACAGTATTTTCTCATGCAAAAACCCCCTGGTTCTGCTTTGTTAATTTTTCTAGTTCGAAACATTGCCGTGCTCATTCAAAACTAGTGAGATTTTGTCGGGTGCCATGCTGGCATCGCTTTAATCGGATAATCAACCATAGCCGTTTGGAAATCGATTGTTGAAAAAAAAATCAGCCGGATTGGCTATAAAATTCTATTTTGCTGTACTGATGCGTATTTGAGAGATAGTAAATCAGTATGTAAAATTGTACTTGGTAGTGCTGGAAAATGACTACTGCATGATTTTCCTCGCAACTGGTTTCTCTTCGTCAAAAATCATAAATGCGATTTTTCATGGCTGTTGTCGCGCGTCAGAGCATGAAATATTGCGAGGTGTTGAACAATGTGCATGTTTTTTATCAATTGTCCATTTTGAGATCCACGCGGCTATGAAAACAAATTTTTCAAGAAATTTCTAACAGTTTTCATTTCAATAATTTGTCCTGTTTTGATGTGAAGGGCTAGAACATGAACGTTGCATGTCTACTCATTCTTTATGAAAAATAAATCTATTATTAGGTAGGTCCATAAACTTGCACCAAAAGTCATATGTCTTCTAAAATCTAAGAGATATGGCAAACGGTTCGATAGAGCAAAACAAGCTCTACAAGAAAGTTCCTAAATATCTGCAGCAACTTTGATATATGCGAAGTTTGAAGAGAGAAACTAAAAGAATCTAAATGTCCGTACATTTGAAAAAAATTATAACATCGCAAAATTCTATGAATATTCTGGTCGCCCAAGCATATATTAGGTTGTCCCGAAAGTTTTGTCCGTTTTTTCAACCTATCATAAAAATAAGTGAAACAAAGATAGGGAAGCGCTCTAAGCGCTACCCGACGCATCTTTTCCTCCTCTTTCTAACTGTCAAGCCCATATGCCGATTACTCTTTTGCTCACTGAGATAAACGCCGAAATTTCGAACCCATGGTTTTTACTATGTTCAAGTTTGACAATTTCTCACAATCTTCATTTTCAACTTTTGGAAGACCTTTGATAGCCCTCAGATAGAGTAAGCAAAGGGCAATGCAATGCAATTATTTAACATATCTAGCTGGCTTTTCAATATTCTTAAAGATAATTTTTTCAAAAGCCTTCACTTTTGCGAAGTTCTAAAATACAGAAACGCCTCAACGCTAATATATCATCGGATTTT